ACATGGATATATGCCTATTGGATCTTCTGGTCGTGTGTCTCAGTACTGGATTCCTAAATTTTTATTATCATCTAACCCTAGTACTGAGGCTTTGACTTCTGCTTGTGTGTAGGCTTTGGTGGCAAGGAAGGAGAACGTGTGGATCGTGGATTCCGGTTGTTCGCGGCACATGACCGGTGATAAAAATTGGTTCTCCTCCCTAAAGAAGGCATCTAAGACTGAATCGATTATCTTTGGTGATGCTGCTACAAGTGCCGTTCTCGCTACAGGTATGGTTAAGGTAAATGATAAATTTGAATTGAAGAATGTAGCTTTGGTTGAGGACTTAAAGTACAATTTGCTTTCAGTTTCACAAATTGTTGATGAAAATTTGAGGTTCGCTTTAAGAAAACTGGAAGTAAAGTTTTTGATTCTTGTGGTGATTCTGTGTTGAATATTTCTCGCTATGGAAGAGTGTTTAAAGCTGATTTTGAAAATCTTGTTTCACCTGTGATAACATGTTTGGTTGCTAAGTTTGATAAAGATGTGATGTTTTGGCATCGTAGACTTGGACATGTTGGTTTTGATCATCTCACTAGGTTAAGTGGTTTGGATCTTGTTCGTGGTTTGCCTAAATTTAAGAAAGATCTTGATTTGGTTTGTACACCGTGTCGTCATGTTAAGATGGTTTCTACTTCACATGCTCCTATTGTTTCTGTTATGGCGGATGTACCGGGACAGTTAGTACATATGGACACTGTTGGTCCAGCTAGAGTGCAATCTGTTGGAGGAAAGTGGTATGTGTTGGTTATAGTTGACGATTTTTCTCGATATTCTTGGGTTTTCTTTATGGCAACTAAGGACGAAGCTTTTCAACACTTTCGTGGTTTGTTTCTTCGATTGGAGCTTGAATTTCCTGGTTCTTTGAAAAGAATTCGAAGTGATAATGGTGGAGAGTTTAAAAATGCTTCATTTGAACAATTTTGCAACGAAAGAGGTCTTGAACATGAATTTTCTTCTCCTCGTGTTCCTCAACAAAACGGTGTTGTTGAAAGGAAAATTCGTGTTTTAGTTGAGATGGCTAGAACGATGTTGGATGAATACAAAACTCCTAGAAAATTTTGGCCTGAGGCTATTAACACTGCTTGCTATATTTCAAATCGAGTTTTCTTGAGATCTAAAGTTGGAAAAACTTCTTATGAACTTCGATTTGGACATCAACCCAAACTTTCACATTTGCGTATTTTTGGTTGCAAATGCTTTGTCTTGAAATCCGGAAATTTGGACAAGTTTGAGGCACGTTTTACCGATGGATTGTTTCTTGGTTACCCCGCACATACTCGTGGCTATCGTGTACTTATTTTGGGGACTAACAAAATTGTTGAGACTTGCGAAGTTTCTTTTGATGAGGCTAGTCCTGGTACTAGACCTGAAATTGCAGGTACACTGTCACAGGTTCAGGGGGAGGATGGTCGTATTTTTGAAGACGAGAGCGACTACGACGATGACGACGAGGTTGGCTCGGCCGGTCAGACCGCCGGCACACCTCCGGTCAGACCGGCCCATGAGGAGCGGTCAGATCGGCTAGGGTCGTCGGGTTCGGGTACTATTGATGCTGATCGAGATGGTCCTCCGGAAATTACTACTTCGACCAATACTGGTACAGAACGTGGATCAACTTTAGAAGTCGCTGCTCCTTTGCACATTCAACGACGACATCTGCCGGAACAAATTATTAGTAATATAGGTGAGCGGACTACAAGGTCTAAGGTAACGACTCATGATGTTTGTGCAAATTCCGCATTTGTTGCTTCTTTTGAACCCAAAGATGTGTCACATGCATTAACTGATGAATCGTGGATTAACGCCATGCATGAAGAATTTGAAAATTTTGAGAGAAATAAAGTTTGGACTTTAGTTGAACCACCTTCTGGACATAATATTATTGGAACCAAAGTGGATTTTCAAAAATAAACAAAATGAGGATGGTTTGATTGTGAGAAACAAAGCTAGACTTGTTGCTCAAGGTTTTACTCAAGTTGAGGGTTTGAATTTTGATGAAACTTTTGCTCCTGTTGCTAGAATTGAGGCAATTAGACTTTTGTTGGCTTTTGCTGCTTCAAAAGGTTTTAAATTGTATCAAATGGATGTGAAAAGTGCTTTTCTAAATGGTTTTTTACAGGAGGAAGTTTATATCAAACAACCACCAGGTTTTGAAAATCCTGATTTTCCCAACCATGTTTTTAAATTGTCTAAAGCTTTGTATGGTTTGAAACAAGCTATTGTTGAATAGATGTACCAGGGAATAACAGCTCCAGCTCCAACTCCACCCCTCCTGGAGCTGGAGCTCAGCCAAACAGTTTCAGCTCCACCAAAACTGGGAGTAGAGTTGGGTGGAGCTCTCTCACAAAATGTACTAGAGTTGTAGAGCTGGGTTTAGGCAGCTCCACAACTCCACTCCAGACTCAACTCCTGGAGTTATATTTAGGAGCTGGAGCTGTACCAAATAGGCCCTTAAACTTTGAATAAATTTTATGAGTCTTAAAAAGAAAAAAAAACAGTTACAAACCTAGGACAGCACCGGAGGAGCAACACTTGATCACTATTCACTAGCTAGTTTGGCTATTTGCCTAGCTATATATTGACCAATATGATATACATACATACATACACATGCACGTATGTGAATACTACACATATATATAAATCGACGAGAGACGATCAGCGTACAAATTATTCATCGTTCTTCAAATCAAAGTCAGCGTAGATAGATGGGCATATAGTTGGCCATAAGGCCCGAGGCCCGAAGGCCCGGCCCACTGCACGCCTTTTTGGTCCGGCCCAAGCACGGCACGGCCCGACTTGGGTCGGGCCCGTGCCGGCCCGGCCCGACTGTCGGGCCGTGCCTGGACCTCCCCACCAGCACGCTGGGCTGGCCCGGCACGATCGGGCCGGCCCGGCACGATGGGCTGGCAGGCCAGGCCCGGTACACAAAGTATAGGGACTAAAAATAGACATATAAATGTCAATGTCTAAAGAATAGGGACCTTAAATAGACTTATTTTAGCTATTAATATACCACAACACAAAGAAGAGGGAGGAAAAATAAACTTATTTTAGCTATACATATGTCACAGCCCAATAGGAGGGAGGAAATTTAGACTTATTCTGAGGAAAAGCACGATGGCCCATCGTGCCTTCGGGCCGGCCTGGCACGGCCCGAGCCGTGTTGGGCCGTGCCTGGGCTATGAGTGCGGCACGTGGGCTGGCACGGCACGGCCCGGTGCGTCAGTCGGGCCGTGCCGGCCCGACAAGCCTCGGCCCAGGCACGGCCGGGCCTGGGCCGTGCCATGCCGGGCGGCCCACATGGCCATCTATAGATGGGCACAGATACTCGAAGCCACCGGCCGCCTCAACCGCTCTCGGGTTGTCGTAGACGAGGATACTAGATAAAATTACAAGATTTGGAGAGAGACGTCTCTCCAAACATTTTTTAAACGATTTTACTATAAATCAGTCGAAAGATTTTTTTTTTCTTAACTATCACACGAATTCCTGACCATATGATCCGTGCATTGAGATGTGTGTTACCATTAGAGGGAAAAAAATTGAAGGCAAGCGCTGGTATAAGAATCGATCATCATGCCGCGCGCGGTTGTAATCAGACGAGCAAGCTATCAATCTTGTTATGATTACACAACAAATGTAATTATATTATAATTACACTGATTTTATATTTGTGTAATTTTTATTAAAAAATGAGTAAAATACACCGTTGGCCTTAAAGTTGAAACGTGGTGTCACTTAGGTCCATGATCTTGTAAAATCGACATTAAGGTCCATGAACTTGTTTAAGTGAATTATTGTGGTCCAAAGCATATTTGACCGGGTTGACAGTCCTACGTGGCTGTCCAGCATGGTTACATATTTTCTATTAGATCCCTCTGTGCCCAATCCACCCTCTTCTCCCCCAAATCCTTTTCTTTTTCTTCTCATTCTCTCTTTTTGTCCGGTTCTTCTTGCTGCCGCTAATGACCACCAACGAGGTCCCCATGGCCGCTGCACCACTCCTCTCCACAGTGCACCCTTATCAACTGCCCTGCAGGTGAGCTGGCCAGCGAGCTCGCCCCAGTCGTTATAACCGAGTTGGCCCCTGCTTGCGTGCCCTCGAGCTCTTTTCGCCGCCATCGGGCTTGAGTTCGACGAGGTAGCCGTCGCGAGCTCGACAGAGCAGAAAGTAGCCGCGATCACGGCCTGATTCGATGAGGACGGCAGCGGTCCCCCAGTCTAGGGGCCTCGCGCCCTTGTCGGAGCCATCCCTCCACCGCCGCCAGAGAGATCGAGGAGCACCACCGGGGAGAACCGTGCCTCACCGACGGCCAGATTCGCCGGTCTCCCTTCCCGCTGGTTGTCAGCTCAGGTCCACCACGTTGCCAGATCCGTGCCACGACACCTCGCCGCCGGAGTGATGGATGCCGAGCTCCGCCTAGTCGCCGGTGTTGGATCTGGTCTTCTTGCCAGTCGTCAGCGCCGTATCCGACCTCCTCACCGTCGGAACCGCTCTACGCCGCCTCGCCGCCAGAGTAATGGATGCCGAGCTCCATCCGAGCACCGGCATTGGATCCGGTCTTCCCGCTAGTCATCGGCGCCACATCTGATCTAGGATGGCCACTGTCCACATGACCCTTGTCCCTACCACCGCCACCATGTTTGTTGCACCCCAACTAGTCTGTCGTCCAAACCAGTGGTACGAAAGTGGAAGGGCCTAATTAAAAATATGCGGCCACGCTGGATAGCCACATAGGACAGTCAAACGTGTTTTGGACTGTAATGATTCACTTAAACAAGTTCAAGGACCTTAATATCGATTTTACAAGATCATGGACCTAAGTGACACCACGCTTCAACTTTAATGACCGGTGGTGTTCTTTACTCTTAAAAAATCTTTTCGAGTGATGTCTAGGCAATATCCTTTTATAACAAGAAAATATTATGAGCGTGTGAGAATTAAACGCAGAACCTTAGGGTAGAAACAATACACTTTTTACCACTGTATTATTAAATGCATCTCACGAGGATACAAGATCCATGCACGCTTTCTTCGGTTCTATCGGACACCCCCCGATATGATATTATTTCGGCCAAAATCTTTAATTTTTTTCATTTTTTTGTGCATTTGGCAATATTTTGTTTAAATTTGACCAAAATTTGTTCAAAATTTTGGAAAATTCGAACCGAAATTTTCGAAATTTCTGAAATTTCGGTATGTCGGCACCCTCCGATACAAATGCCGAAAACGAAAGATTGAACCATGGGCAAGAGCAGTGATGCTGCTCAGCCAAAGCCAGCGTGGCCTCGAAGTTGTTCCCGTCGATCCGCTTGCACAGCTCGTTCTCGCAGATCATCTTCAGCCGCTCTACCTTGTACCGATCCGCCGCGACGAGGAGCCAAGCCATGGAGGAGAAGTCGTCGTCTTCTTCGTCGAGCTCCGGCGGCGCGTCCGTGTATATGAACCGGAGCAGAGCCTCGAAGGCCCGCGCGTCGATGCCGTCGTCGACGACGTGCACCCGCCCGCCGCTGCCGGCTTTGGAGGTGGCGGTGGCGCTGAAGAGCTCCGACCTGAACACCAACAACCGGGCGGCGAACGTCGTCGTCTCGCCGCCGCCCACCTGGAGCGTCACGTCCGCGCCCTCCTTGCTCAGGAGGAGGGCGCCCATCTGGCTTTGCAGATCCGGAGCAGCAGCCGGCACGTCGACGACGACCGCCGGTGCCGGTGCAGCACGACGGGGAACCGTGACGATGGTGATGTCGCACCTGACCGCGAGGCAGTCGCCGTCGAGGACGTGCTCCTCCAGCTCCTTCCTCGTGACCAAGTTGGAGCACTCCCATATCTTGCCGCTCAGCAGCGGCGACGTGACGCCGCGGGTGTGCCCGGGCACCGGCTTCCCGGCGTGGTGGTCGAGCAGGTGGAACCGAGCCGTCATCTGCTCGTACGCGCCGCCGTCGCCGGCGTCGCCGTCGTCGTCGCGGACGAGGCAGATGGCCATGTGGTCGCTGGCGTTGTGCAAGAAGGACCTGCCGTTGGGGTAGTACTCGAGGTACCAAGAATGCGTTCCGACGCGAAAGGTGCACGATCTGGAGCAGTGGCCATGGGAGAGCATCTCCTTGGTGTGCGAGTAGCCGTCGATATTGAGAAAATGGCACCCGCTCACCTTGCTCACCACGATCGCCGACGAAGATGACGATGAGCGTGAAGGGATGCCGCCGTTGTTGTTGCCGGTAGAAGATGTTGATGACGACGACGACATGGTGGCGATCGATCGAACTAGTGGGACGACGACGGGCAGTGGCCAAGAGGGAGAATGTTGTGTGTGTTTTGAGCTAAGAAAACGTAGTAGATTAAAGTAGTCCTGCATGGGAATCTTAAGTAGTGATGAGTAGTGGCTTAACTGCTTAAGTGCTAAGCAAAGCAAAGGCAAAAAGGTCGCTGCATTCACTTGTCATGGCGCCATGGCCCACGGGCTGCGGAATGCCGAGGATTCCAGCGGAGAATCGAAAAAAGGAAAAAAGGCAGTCACCGGCCATATGCCACCGCCCACTGCATATGCACCGAACGCCACTGCTCTTTCCATCTCTCATCTAAGTATCTAACCATTTTATTGGCAAATTGGACCGAACCTGAATTTTTAGTATTTTGGCCAGGCAAACGTGTGTTTAAATTAAAAATCTCTCGCAAATACTTTTACTCATTTATTCATTTGGTCAGAACGGGCTTGTTTTCTTTGGGTCTAACAGGTGTTCGATGATATTTTTTTAGATAATAGAATATAGCATCTCGGTTTTTCTCAACTAGCTACATCCAATTATTACATCCTAACACTACAAATGAGTGTAATTCAAATAGAATTATAGAAATAAAAGACACCAATCATGAATTACTTCAAATACAATTTTCTCTTAAACTACTCATTCGATCTACCATTCGATTACACCGTTATGTTTGTAACAATTAAATCTTTATAACAAGATCTCACATGATTATATTTTGATAAAAAATAATAAATTATTTTTATTATGTATCTAAATTACTTTTAATTTCACTAAATTACTTCTTAGACATATAAAAGTAAATTCAGCAAAGCCTAAAAGTAATTTACATATATTATAGAAATAACTTATAATAAAAAGAAAGTAACTTTAATTAATGCCTTTTTTATTGAACAAATTATCATATATATAAGTTACTTTTAGATTTGATTAAAATACTTCCTATACATTCATAATGCTCTGAGGTGATTACTTTTATTATTGTCTTTAGTTAATTATATAATTTGTGCTGATTAATTTAATTTCATATTATAGAAACTTAGAACAAAACGAAGGTAACTTACTTTCAGCATGAATGACATTCTATAATATATATAAATTACTTTTAAAATTACTGAATTTACTTTTATATGTTTAAGAAGTAACTTAGTAAAATCTAAAAGTAAGTTAGACATATCATAAAAGTAATTTGTGATTTTTTTCATCAAAATATAATTATGTGAGATCTTGTTGTAAAGATTTAATTGTTACGAACACAACGGTGTAATCGTATTGTAAATCGGATGAGTAGTTTAAGAGAAAATTTTATTTGAAGCATAGATGGTAAGAATATTTTCCCTACTTGCTTAATGGATTAGTACTATAGTAAAGTAATATTCTTCAAGTTAACACATATCTGGATAATGCTTATATGGGTCGCTCGTTATGACTAAATCGATAGTGCTCTCAATTTAGATTTTGCGAATACCGTAGTCGTGATCTTAAACGTCAACACGGCTCTTAATCATTAGAGTGTACATTATAATATCTTATCGAAAAAAGAAATTGCTGCCAACTACAAGTACAAAGTCTTCAGCGATCAAAGTCTTTTTTTTCTAGTGCTCAATGACGCTGATCAATGACTTCGATGTAAGTACGTACAAAGTCTTCAGCGATCAAAGTCTTTTTTTCTAGCTGCCATATACTCAATGACGCTGATCGATGACTTCGATCAAAGTCTTCAGCGAACTCTATAGTGCTCAAGGGATTCCTGGTGTGTGAGTGCGTGACCTCCATCTTTTTTTCTTTTGTTTCCTTTTTGAAGACCACCTGTATTCTCCGTCTTCAAATTGCCGGAAAAGCTACTTTAGAAAATTAGGATCTACCATGTCCCTACAATTGATCCGGCTGTGTCGCCACCTTTCCACGCCGTCCATGACGAGCTCTAGCAGCAACTTCGTGATAGATCGAGGGGCAACATCGCAGTGATTTGGAGTTTCAACTTTCAAGACAACTAAAACATGATCGCGCCCGATTTGGAGTTTCTCCCAAGTACACATAATAACATGCAGACTTGATCATTGTAAAATACAGCTATATTTATATCTACGGAAAAAGTTGTATTTTTTTAAGCTAAATTATCTACTTTGTCCGTTTTACAATATAAAATTTTCTAACATTGTCCATATCCATATAGATGTTAATGAAATAGACATTTTTATTAGCATCTATATAAATGTAGGCAATGCTAGAAAGTCTTATAAAATGAAACGGAGAGAGTAGCTGCAATCTGTGCATAAAATTCAGCTATAACTCACAGTACTTAAAAGAGTGCCTTCGCCATTAGCTCCTTCAGAACGGTCGGGCAGCTCAGCTGCCCAAACCCATCGGTAGCCATGGCGGCCTTCAGATTCGTCGGCGAGCTGAGGAACTCCGTGCACGCCGCCCTGAGCCCATGGCAGTGGTGCCGGTCGGCGAACGTCAGCATGGTCGCCACCGAAGACGCGCCGATGTGCTTGCGCAGCCTGTCCTCGCACATCAGCTTCAGCGTCTCCATGCTGTACCTGTCCGCCGCGACGATCATGTTCTGCGCCATGGCGGCCTCCTCCCGCGTCGTCCCCTTCTCCGGCGGCAGCGAGTCGGTGTACATGTAGTGGAGCAAGGACCTGAACACCTCCGCGTCCATGTCGTCGATCTGGATGACGGCCCCGCCGCCGTCCTTCGCAGGGACGCCGGCGAGGAGCTCAGCCTTGAAGACCGGCGACCGCGCCGCGAGCACGACACGGTGCGCGGCGACCGTCTCCTCCTCGCCGCCGGCGCCGCGGACACGGAACTCGACGTCGGCGCCGTCCCCGCTCGCCAGCAGGTCCCCGAAGTGGCGGCGCATGTCGGACGGCGGCACCGCCACGTACGGCGCGCCGACGGGGCCGGCGATCTCCTCGGCGCGGAACTTGCCCACGACGGTGATGTCGAACCGGAGGGCGAAGCGGTCGCCGTCGAGATGCTCCGACTGCTCCAGCTCATCCCGACTGATGAACTGTGTGAACCCGTACTTCTGGATCTCGCTGGAATAGGTGAATACTCCGGAATTGGCCTTCTGGGATGGAACTTGCCGGCCGTCCTTGTCGAGCAAGGTGACGGTGAACTGCACCGTCGTCGTCGTCGCGGTCGTCGCGGTGGCGGCATCCTCGAGGAGGAGGTAGAGGGAGATGTATTCGATGGACTCGTCGTCGAAGCCATTGGGGTAGTAGAAGACGTGCCATGAGTGGCCGGCGGCGCGGAACGAGCGGGAGGTGATGAACTGTCCGTTGGGGACGACGTTCTTGGTGCGGGAGTAGCCGTCGATCCTGAGGACATGGTGGCCCGTCTTTACGCCGGCAACTATGGCAGAGGCGGTGGTCGGTTCGTCGGCGGTCATCGTCATCGGCATGGTCGGAGACATGTCGACGAACGGATTCTTCGATCCTAGACGGATGATTATATCGATCGTAGCTAATATGAGAGGCGCGCGAAGCCGTGATCGATCGTACTACTCCCGAGTAAAGACGTGCATGGTTCGGTTTCTAATCAAGTTTTGGCTGGTTTGAATCATGCCTTTTAAGCTGTTCCAAGTATGTACGAATGAACGTTCATAGCTGTTTTGATCCAATGTTTGATCGATATGGAGATGGATTTTCATCCCTATAGGGGTGTCTACTCTTTTCATGCCACTTAAATAGTCACTAAAACTAATAAAAATTAGAAGTAGCTATATTTATGGCACCATATTTTTCACTAAAAAATAGACGTTATATATTTATATTGTAAGTCTCTAAATTACATATGTAATTTTAGTGTATTTACAATGTAAGCCCCAAAACTATATTTGTAAGTCTTAAAATTACATATGTAAATCCCAAAAAAAATTTCATGCAGATTTTAAAACTTACAAAGTTTGACACGGGCAACTTTTCTACCTAGTTTATAATATGATATTTCGGAATTTTTGGCCAAATTTTGGAAATTTTTGTCCTAAGGATATTTCAATCATTAGGACAAAATTATATAGTACTAACGGAATCTAAATGGACGGCGATAGTATATTATAGAATTTAAGCAAAAATACAATGACATATTGTCGAACTTAACAAACTTAGTGGCATATTATAGAACAAGGACAAAGTCAGCGGCACACGATGGATTCTCTCTAAAAAAATCTAGTTAAATTATTTCTTTTTTATTCAAAACAAAACATCTTTTACCTAAATACATTTAGAGAACTTCAAAAGAAGTAAGAAAAAAAGGAGGTTAGTCACTAGCCTAAACACATGAGGGTGGTTGCTCACATCCATGGTATGATATATACATACATTAATCAATAATACACTAATATTATTAAAATTGTTCTTTGTAGTACATGGTGTGAAACTAAAAAATTTAACCTTATATTCTTCTGTTGTTCCATCTTCTTCTTGTTTTCTCATTCCTATTTATTTTTGATAATAATATTGCTACAACTAAGCACTGTTGCTTGCACATGAATACTAGTAGCAGCTGCTAGCTCATGTGTGTGCGCTCCGCAATATATATTATCTATATTTTTACATGAGGAAACAATAACTATCATCTTTGTTAATGATATTGTATTTATAAAAGGTACCTGACTAGTTTTTTAAGAGAAAGATATTTTTGCTAAACATAATCTAGAATGCTATAAAGGTTAAAAATATTAAACGATATAGTCATATAAATTTTTTTTATGAATTAGTGATCAACACTGGTTATGAATCCAATGATCATAATGCAGTATATATAAGTAAGTTGTGGCATTCACTATTTACTAGTTACATGCCTATGCATTACAATGAGATCTACATGTAAAAATAAGATTTTATTGGGCACGCAAATACGCTTTCCGAACCAAACAATTCCTTTGTCATCCACGGAGTATTATGAGGCTTTGTCTTTCTTTATCAATTCCTTGATATTTGCAATTTCTTCATCGCCTTCTTGGGCTTCACGAATTTGATCCACTAGAGTCGGTTGAACCACAAGGGTTGCTAGAGTTCCTGGCTTAACCATGTTTATTCTTAGCTTTTTCCAATTCTTTACACAACTCTAGATGATGGGGCGAGGTCACAAGAGCATTACAGTGCACCTTCCGACTTAGGGCATTTACAACGAAGTTTGCCTTTCCGGGATGATAATGTATTCCAACATCGTAATCCTTGATTAACTCAATCCATCTTCTTTGTCTGAGGTTGAGTTCCGTCTGAGTAAATATATACTTTAGACTCTTATGATCAATGTATACTTCACATCTGCTACCAATCAAATAATGTCTCCATATCTTGAGTGTATGAACAACTACGGCTAATTTAAGATCATGGGTAGGGTAGTTCATCTCATGCGGCCTTAACTGCCGTGAGGCATATGCAACAACTTTTCCTTCTTGCATAAGCACACATCCTAAACCTTGTTTGGATGCATCACAATAAACTTCGAAATCTTTTCTTATGTCGGAAAGGATTAGAACTGGGTAAGTTGTTAGTCTTTTATGTAGTTCTTAAAAACTCTTTTCAGATAATTATGTTCAAACCAATTTCTTTTCCTTATTTAGCAATTTTGAACTTGGTCCTCATACTCGAGGCAAGCTGGGCTACGAGCATTACGACGAGGGCGTCCTGCCGTTTGGTTGATTTCAAAGGGCGCAGAAAGGAGGAGGGCATTACATAGATAAGATTTATTTTCATAAATTCGAAAGATTCATAAGGCAGGACATGGCCAACACAAAGCTTAGCCAAGCTTGACTGGCACACATCAAGAAACAAACCAACATTACATAACCCACCAACACGCTAGTTTAGCAAACCCCCGAAAGAGTTTGGAAAACGTCCTTAGCGTAAACTAAATGCCACATCTCCTAATGAGTCGGCATCGATACAACAGGTCTGACACACAACAACGACTACAACTCTAAGCACTGAGAACTGAAAGCTTGGCGGAGTCGTCCTCGGATGAGGTCGAGCTGGAGGTAGGCTACGGGGCTACAGGTGCATCAAGAGGTGGTGGAGCTACGACAACTGGCGAAGTTGGGGCAGGAGCTGCTGGAGCAGGATCAACGGTCTCTGAAGGCCTTCGCTTGAAAAGTGAACGGTACTGGCGAGCGGTCATGAACTTGGTGCGTGGAGTCGGGCGGAGAGTCGGGTGGAGTCAGGGAGGGCTCGAAGGGGGTGTGGGGTTGGATCCCATGCATGGAATCGGAGTCGGAGTCATGGTCCATCTACAATTTTGAATAAAGGAATAAGTAGCCAGTTTGAAAAAATCTACTAGTAAAGAAAAGACATAAGCATAGCTAATTTTTGGCAAATATAGTTTTTTTAATATAGTCCTTAGGGTCACAACTAAACGATGGTTTCGTCCTAGGGCCAAACCTATGCTTTGATACCACCTTGTAACGCCCCGACATTCGTTAGCCATAAACACAGCTAACTTACACCGGGGTGTTATGCATGACCTGTAATATAGTACCAATCCCAGGATGCACTAGCTGGTACACACAGAATAAATGTGGAATCAAAGTAAACTACTTTATTACGTCACTGGGTAGTAGTCCTTACATAAGTTGCCATCATGGACAGACCCATAGATGAGCAACACAACAACACAGAAAAACATAAAAGCAACGGCGCAAAAGCGAACAACGCGGAGAGACTAAGCGTCTAAACGACTACGCACTAGGCACAGTTCCTAGGCAACTAACTTATTCCACAGGCCAGGCTTGGGCCTAGGCACGAAACATCTAGAAGTCTTCATACTCGGCTTGCTCCTGGAGATACTCCTCGGCGGTCGGGTCGACGTCTTCATCTTCATATTCTATAGATTATTATAAGGGGCAAGGGTGAGTACTTAATGTACTCAGCAAGCCAGGGGAAAGAATGACATGTTTGGTTTAAGCAAGTAGGCTAAGATTTTATTTGCGAAAGCTGCCTTTTTGGGAAAGTGATTTATTTCAAAAAAACTCCTAGTGAGTGGGTGAATGGGTCAAGTTTTAGTTGTCGTGAGGAGGCTCACGCCTTGACCCATTCCACAAGTTGCTTTTGTTAACAACCAAATTTGGTAATTCAAGTATCGGAGATGGAGATAAAATCGAAGCAGAATCCAAGATGGAGATCGTTCCGGAAACAGAGTGAGGATCGGCTAAAGTCCGAATTGGCTACGATCAGGATCGGTAGAGTTCGAGTCGGACAAGGTTGGCCGATTAAGCCGATTACGACAATGTGACTCGGTACATGTTGTCAGGTTGAGTTAATGTACTTCATGAGAATTGCCGTGCACGGATTGAGTCCTGAAAAGGTAATTGTATCTATTAATTAGGGTATTTCATGTAATTTTCTTAGATATAAGTTTGGCAAAAATCTGCCGTAAAGACTTATGGTATCTTAGAGTTTGTTAGAGATAAGAGTCGTGTCCGACATAGACATATTTTGTAATCTCGGGTACAAATAGACACCGAGCCCCATGTAATCGAGACAACACACGATTCAATACAATCTCGGTGCATCGCCACCCTTTACTTTCGTTTGCTTTCGACGAGTTCTTGCTTTCGGATTGAGCTGCATCGGTTTCGATCTTCAACTAAAGGTAAAATTTGTTATGGCGGTTTGCGTTCTCGGGATATTCATGATACCCGTCTGGAAGAACTTGCGTACTGCACCGACAACATCGTCTTTCAAGGTCTCCCAATTCCTCTTATAAAACCTAGCCGGGAAGCCGTCCGGGCCAGGGGCTTTGAGGGGCCCGACCTGAAACATCGCATGGGAAATCTCTTCCTCACTGAATTCAGCACATAAGCTGTCATTCATCTCCTCTGTGACCTTCTGTTGGAATAACCTCACGACACATTCTGGATCAAGGCTCTGGTCTGCAGTAAAAATATTACTGAAGTACTCTGTGGACATATTTTCTATATCTGTTGCCGTATTATGAACAGTGTCGTCTGCATCCTTCAGACTTGAGATTTTGTTCTTCTTTTCCCTCCAGACGGCCCGACTATGGAAAAAACAGGTATTCCTATCCCCTTCTTTTAGCCAGTTGACACGCGAGCGGTGCAGCCATAACATCTCTTCTCGATACAACAATTCATTCATATGATCAGTGGCATTACGGATTTGTGCTCCGATCCATCCGCATTTGCTTGCACAAGCTCAGTCAGTTTCTTTCTTGCCTTTTCTAGCTCTCTACTGACATTCTTCACCTTGGATTTACTCCAATTTCTGAGAGCAGACATAACTTTGGACAGAGCTTTATTTATGTCTCCTAGATCAGCTTTAACTCCAGCATTAATCCAGGTTTCTTCTATTACCTGTGCCGCTTCCGGTTCTTGTTCCCAAACTACTCCCTCCGTATTTTAATGTATGACGCCGTTGACTTTTCGACCAACGTTTGACCATTCGTTTTATTCAAGTTTTTTGCGCAAATATAAAAATATTTATGTCATGCTTAAAGATCATTTGATGATGAATTAAGTCACAATAAAATAAATGATAATTACATAATTTTTTAAATAAGACGAATGGTCAAACGTTGGAAAAAAGTCAACGGCGTCATACATAAAAAATATGGAGGTAGTATCTCATAGTGCAGACACTTCTGGCGTACTTGTTGCTCATCTCTGTCTGTGAGGTTAAGGGCAATGGGGCAGTGATCTGAGCAGGGAGAGACCAAATGAACAACCTGGGCAGAAGCAAAGATATATATCACGCCAGCTATTGTCAGCAATCGCTCTATCCACCCGAACCTTGACAGTATTCCAACCATCTCTTCTATTATCATAGGTATGAGGAGTACCCTTAAACCCCAGGTCATGCAGCTCGCAGTCCTGCAAGACGTCACGAAAAGATTTTATTCCAGCCATCTCTTCTATTATCATAGGTGAGAGCATCGTTATTAATGCTGTATAAAATTATAGAATAATATTTTATAATGTTTAATATGCTTGTTTGATATTTCCAAAACTAAATACGTACTTCATACAAAGAAAATCATACTTTTTGCTCCGTTGATCTTACCTTGGTGTTTACCGTGGTCAATGATGCAAACCAAGTTTAGGAGGAGTCGGGATTAGGAGGGAGGAATTAGCTAGCCGGTTGTTCCCTAATCTAATCTAATGGTCTAAAATTATGGGTCCACTGATTTTAAATAAAAATCGATGCCCAAATTTATCTAACCTATCAGAATACCACGTGGCAGTTTAATGAAATACACGTGTATACTGTTAGAGTTTGTGTTGAATATATATACAGAGTTAGTTATAGTTTAGGACTTGAAGTTGTAATAGGTGTAGAATAGAGTTAGAGTCGAACTCTATCTTAGTCCCTCTTAAATAGAGATACACACCGGTTGTAACCACAAGACAATATTAATTAGCATAGATGTAATATGTTGGATTTGGGAGAGCGCCCATAATCAGTGTCTCGAGGATGTAGACATTGGTTGAATCTCGTTAACAAATATTGTGCCTCGGTGTCGTCTTCACTATTGGTTCCTCTATGGCATTTCTCTCGTATTCTATTCCAAGGCATATATCAGGCCGTTTTTATAACATATACTTGGCAAAAATACCACGTACCAACTCCTGTATGGAGATAAATTAATCCTCCAAATACGATCCCTTGCTAACAAACATTGAATTCTTAACCAAACAAGAAGTATATAAAAAATGCGTAGCTACCCTAGTTAGTTTACTTATGGTAAAACCAGCCCACCCAAGTTCAAGTCCTAGACTTTACACGGGTGCTCGTATTGGCTATCCTAGACCTTGCATGGGTGCTCATATTGATGGCTAATTTCTTTAAGTGGTAAGCGGTTACCCGCATTGACGGTCCTAGCTAGACTTTGCGCGGGTGCTCGCATTAACAACTAATTTCTTTAAGTGGCAAGCGACGTGCTGGTTCAGTCTTTCTAATATGCTTGTAGGGATAGAGTACGTGTTTATAGGGGTGAGTAACAAAACGAAACTCATCGAGATCATTCAAGTTTATGGAGTTTCCGAAAGACAATCTACCGACCATATCACTGAGGTGGCGACTGGCGAGACACCTCACCCACAGGGGCGGATCCAACGTGGGTGCAGGGGGGCCTCAAGTCCCCCCTACACCCACAAGACCCATGGATACCTCCGGAGCACCCCCTTCGATTTTTTCACCATGAATGATAAACTAAATGTCTCTAAATGGCTGAAGATTGAATATACTGTTTAACTGAGCGCCTCCCCCCCCCCCCCCAAATTTTTTATTCCTGGATTCCACACAGTCAACTAGGTTAGGTTATGGCTTCTTTACATACTTAAGAAATTATCAGACCCAATGCATATAAATTATAGATGCATTTAAAATAAATTATATTTGTAACTAACAAAATGTTCATTAAATATATATTTTTCGACTTCCAGACAAATTTTGTCAAACTCAGCACAAACTTTGCAGGAAATACACACCAAGCTCAGATTAATCGAAGAACTAGAGCCTTGGCCAACGGCCAGGCAGCTCAACTGCTCAAACCCATCGGTTTCCATGGCGGCCTTCAGATTCGTCGGCGAGCTGAGGAACTCCATGCACGCCCGCTTGAGCCCATGGCAGTGGTGCCGCTCGGCGAGCTCTAAAGTTGTCGCCGCCGTGGCCACACCAATGTGCTCGCACAGCCTCTCCTCGCAGATTAGCTTCAGCCTTCAGCCTCTCCAGATCATACCTATCAGCCGCGACGATGAGATGCTGCGCCATGGCGGCGCCCTCCCGCGGCGTCCCCGTCTCCGGCGGCAGCGAGTCGGTGTACACGAAGTGGAGCAACGACCTGAACACCTCCGCGTCCATGTCGTCCACCTGGATGGTGCCGTTCGCCGCCACGCCTTCCTTCATGGGGCCGAAGAGTTCCGCCCTGAAGACCCGCGACCGCGCCGCGAGCACGGCACGGTGCGCGGCGACCGTCTCCCCGCCGACCCGGAACTCCACGTCCGCGCCGTCCCCGCTCGCCAGGAGGTCGGCGAACTGGCGGCTCATCTCGGACGGCGGCACCGCGCCGCCGCCGCCGCCGGCGATCTCCTCGGTGGTGCGGAGCTTGTCCATGACGGCGACGTCGAACCGGATGGCGAGGCGATCGTCTCTGACATACTCCGACTGCTCCAGCTGGTCCCTTCTGATGAATCTCTCGCCCCCCCACATGCTGTACTCCTCGCCGGAGGAGCCGCTGCACTTGCACGTGCACGAGGAGCTCCGGTAGGACCAGCCCGGCCGGCCGAGCTCGTCGAGCAGGCTGACCGTGAACTGCGCTCTCGGCGGTGTAGCCGTTGGGGTAGTAGTAGACGATCCAAGAGCGGCCGGTGGCGCGGAACATGCAGGACCTGACGTGCTGCCCATTGCGGACGGTGTTCTTGGTGTGGGAGTAGCCGTCGATCCTGAGCACGTGGTGGCCGTTCACGGCGCCGGCCACGATGGCGAAGGAGGCGGACAGCGGCGCGGTAGTCGGCGGCGGCACGGCTGGGCACGTACGAACGATCCAGGGAACACTCAGACAGTCAGATGTACGTCGTATTATGTATAGTAAATAAATATATGAGAGATTGGTCAAGTCAAAATTAACCGGATCAAAAGTTGTTTTCGAGTTAGCAACGAGTCCAATCAATTCGAGTGAAAACTTGCGTATATATATATAGAGAGAGAGTTATAATACACCTAAACCACATGGTCCAATCTAAAGTCTAAACTGGTTCATCGTCTCGATTCATCTACAAAGGTTTCACTTGTTATCCACTCGTGGGAGGCCCGAATTTCCTAATTTGCGAAGGCTCGCACGGGGATGCGGCGTGCGAATTGGAGATGGCTGATGGCCTGATGCGCGCGCGGGTGGCACCCGAGCGATCACTTCTCCCCTCTAGTCTCTCCTCCCTATCTCTACTACTTTAAAATAAATTCCGTAGTGGTGGCGGTGACTCCAACCCTGATATACACGCCGATTGTACACCGTCCGATCGCCAGATCCAACGGCTCATATCTCCTTTCTCTTCCTCCGCACGTTGCCGCATCCAGCGCACGTATCTCCGCGCTCTCGGTCGCTCCCTCCGCTCTCTCCTCGTCAACCCCCCGATCCACGCCACACGCGCCTTGCAGGCCCACAGCCTCCCTCCCTCGGTCGCTCCTCCACAACCGCCGCCGCATCTCCCCTCCGCTCTATCCCCCTTCAACGCCGCCGCATCGCTTCTCCCTCCCTCCAACGACGCTCCACGCCGCTGCCGCCGCCGCCGCATCCACAATCCTCGCCACGCATCCTCTTCTAGCGTGACTCCGGGCGACGGCTCGAGGATGCGAGGTCGGGGTTTACTGACCCCTCCATGATTCCTCTCCTCTGTGCCGCCCCTCCACGATTTTTGACGCGATCCTCTCTCCCTCTCGCACGCGCCGAACCCTAGAACCGCGCCTCCCGCTCAAGTCCATCCCGCCGTCGCACATTGCGTCACCCGGATCGGCGTGCCGCTGCCGCCGCCACACCAAGGTCAGGGGTTATTATTTTGCAGCTAATCCCATGAGATTATATGCTAAACTGGTGGCTAATTACCCAAGGTCAGGGGTCGCACGGGGGTGCCAGGCCAACCCCGGCACCCCCGGTGGCTTCGCCACTGGCTCTGCTGACGGCGAGGTGGCTGGCACCTCACGTAAAACAGGTCACTAGGTCAGGATGTTTCTGGGAAGAAGCTGCTGCTTCAAGCTTAGTATATGGGGTGATTTCGTATGATTTGATCGGTTTTCTACTTCTTTTTTTTTGTTTGTTGCAGACTTTGATCGGAAGCTGCAATGCGATGAGGGAAAAGGCCCACGTGAGTGTATTGGTCAACTTCTTGTTTGTCTTTATTTTCCTAGACAATTATCTTCGTTGATCTCCCGCAAGCTTTGCAAGTATATACTACATAAGTACATACATTTTGTTCTTGATAGTGTCTGATCTATCTGGTATGGTTTGAACAGCATTATATTGGAATGGTGCGGGAGAACTCATTAAATATTCTGGAATTTGTGCCGGGAAGATCGATCCAGTCACTGCTTGGGGGGCTCGGGTCTAAGGCTGTATGCATATGTTTGATGAGTTAACCAATAATAACTTGATTAAATCCATTTGTTTACCAGGTCATCAGGAGTTATACTGAACAAATTTTATTGCAGTAAACAGATCATTGGCTGTATTCCTTTCTAAAATTTGCAGGAAATCTAGAAAAAAAATGAGAACAGAAATACACAGCTATTTTTTTTGTGTAAACCTGTTGATGAGTGATTATTACTATTTTGCTTATGTGACATGGTATTTAAATTTGTTCAATAAATATCTAGGTAATCTGTCCGTTTTCATCCTTTGCCAAACAATATTTTCATTTAGCTTGCTTCAGGTTTTTTTTATTTTTAGATAGCTAAAAGTGTTTGGAATATTGATTACAATTTTTTGTTACAAGTTGGATGAAAAAAAGACTCGCTGGCTAGCCAAATTCAAAAGTTAAATAACACACTCCTGCCTATCACTAAATAGTATTGACCTAACCCTAAAAAAGGTACTGATCATGAGTAATGACACATTGCATCAGTGTTATTGCAGTACTTTATGTGAAAAAGAGTTGTTTTCCATGTGCTAATTCTGCACTCGGAGGCCTTGTCAGCAATAAAAAAAAGTGCAGGTTTAGCTATTAAATTGGGTTGTTTGCTACTATATTTAGCTAAAGAATCTGTAAATTCTGGGAGTTTGCCTGTATGTGTTATGCTCATATTTGTCGGTTGTGTGATTTGCAGGACTACTTGGTCAAGTAGGACACTGACACTGCCAATGGAAGCAGAGTGCCATCAAGGTTAAAGACAACAAGATGCTGCTCTTTTACTAGGAGCTGGTTAAGCACTGTAATAGATTTGATGTAAGGTATATTACTTGTTTACGGTCTACTCCCTCCATCCCAAAAAAGGCAAACCGTGGGTTTTCGTGCCAACATTTGACTGTCCGTCTTATATGAAAATTTTTTATAATTAGTATTTTCATTGTTGTTAGATGATAAAACATGATTAATACTTTATACGTGACTTATCTTTTTAATTTTTTTCATAATTTTTTCAAATAAGACTTACGGTCAAATATTGGACGCGGAAACCAGGGTATGTCTTTTTTTTTTGGGACGGAGGGAGTAGGTTGTGTGGAGCTCTGCAATTTGCAGACCTCTGCAGTTCAATTTTTCTTTGTGTCTTGTGATCTCTAACATGCAGATTACAGTAGTCATTACCATCTATTTATCAAGGGTTGTGGCATTGGGTATCAAACAAGTACACTGTTTTCTATTAAACATATAGCTGCAAGAAGAATTGAATTTAGCTTTCTAATGATTAGCTGCTGAACTACAAATTAATATCACTACACGTGAAACAGGGGAAATCAAATACTTGCTGGTTCTTTGAATTATGTTCAGTAGTTGCTGCACAGAGTGCTTAATTTTTTTTATTATTTTCAGCTTGGCCAAATTATGTTGTTCTCTAATATTTGTGAGCAGCTCTATGGAGGGCCATGGCGATTTGCTAGAGCAGCATGGCACCATCGAGGTAATAGTGGCTGTTACAAGGTAACCATCTTTTTCCCCTTCACTTTGACATATGCAGTCACAAAGATGGAGTCTTGCACCGAGTAGAGGTGTTTGTAAACAAAAGTGAAAGAAGATTAGAAAGATGCTTAACTCGAATAGCCTTGTGAAAATCTTACATGCTGATACATAGGAGGCGGCGAAAATGAAATACAACAAGTGTGAAAATGCGGTTGGAATGGTGGGCCCCATCTCTTGAATTTGTTCATCTTATTGATATACTATGCCTGTTATGTAGCTTTGGTGAAATTTGACATATTCGTATAATATGTACACAATATTGCTATTTGTGACATTCGTATGAAATGACCCATATCCACATACTATCATCAAACTGTATGAGTCATGGGTTGAATCACTGTAATTGTTTTGAATAATCATATAGGATTGCTTAAAAAAGGTGTGCTGCCAAACGTGCCATGTGATAATATAATGTTTGTGCACGGTTCGTGGCCCACTTGTTCGGATCTATTTTCTTCTTGTTCAGAAGTATGACCGTTTCCGGTTTGCATGTGTAGTATTTGGCTTGGTGCAACTAATGTGGGTGGAGACCCAATGTGTGGCGCCATGCCGTTCGGGTGTAACGGAGCATGATCTTGTTACGTTTGGGTGTAACGGAGCATGATCTTGTAACGAAGCATGATCTTGTAACGGAGCTATTCACAAACTTTTCTGTTTTGTGTGCTGCAACATAACAATTTTCTTTGAAAATTTTTCCCCTGTTGCAACGCACGGGCACCTAACTAGTATAATATATATTTTATATACATATGTATAAACTTTATATACGTCTACACAAAATTTACATATATGTATATAAAATATATACTTATGTATATATTTTTTATGTATACAAAAAATATATTGCATAAGCATGTATACAAACTATGTATATCTCTATCTCTATCTCTATCTCTATTCTCTACTACTTAAAAAATAAGAGGTGCTTCCATCGTCCGAGCGAAAAAAAGTCCGATAAAAAAACTAGGCGAAAAAAATATGTCCGATCCAAAATAAGGCAACAAAAGGAAAAACCAGGCGAAAAAAATATGTCCGATCCAAAATAAGGCAACAAAAAGGAAAAAATCAAAACGAATCCGACTCCGTCTACGCGGTAAAAAAAGGGTGAATTTTTTTTAAAAAAAACTGTTCGATTCCACAGAAAAAGAATTATCTGTGACACGGTAAAAAAATCGACCAAGCGAAAAAAACAAGCGAAAAAACCGGGCGAAAAAAAGAAAAATAAAGACCGGCTAAAAAAAGTCCGATAAAAAAAAACAAAAAAATAAGAGGTGCTTCCATCGTCGGTAAAAAAACCAGCGAAAAAAAAGTTTGATCAAAAAAACTGAGCGAAAAAAAACCGAGCAAAGAAAACAGATCTGCCCATAAAAAAAGAGGAAAAAAAGGAAAAAAATCGAAACGAATCCGACTCTGTTTACATGGTAAAAAAAGGGCAATTTTTTTTTAAAAAAAAACTGTCCGATTCCACAGAAAAAAGAATTATATGTGACACGGTAAAAAAATTGACCGGGCGGAAAAAACCAAGCGAAAAAACCGGGCGAAAAAAAGAAAAATAAAGACCGGGTGAAAAAAAAAGTCCGATAAAAAAACTGGGCGAAAAAAAACCAGACAGAAAAGGGCAAAAAAGGGAAAAACATAGAAATGAATTCGACTCCGTCGACGCGGTAAAAAATGGCGATTTTTTTTTTTAAAAAAATTGTCCGATACCACAGAAAAAGGAATTATATGTGACACGGTAAAAAAAATCGACCAGGAAAAAAAACCAAGCGAAAAAACCGAGCGAAAAAAAAGAAAAAAAAGTCCGATAAAAAAAGGGCGAAAATAAACACGGGCAAAAAAAACAAATCTGTCCAATCACAAAAAGCAGGGAAAAAAGGAAAAAAAATCGAAACGAATCTGACTTCGTTAACACAGTAAAAAAAGCGAAAAAATTTAAAAACAAATGTCCGATTCTAAAGAAAAAGGAATTATAAATGACATGGTAAAAAAAACTCAAATCCTAATATATCTACAAAGGTCCGACTATATAAGAAAGTGGCGAAAAAACCGTTCGTAAAAAAATACAAGAGAAGAAAAAAATAAAAAGGCAGAAAAAAGCGCGGCAAAAAAAATTAATTTCTATTCATCGTTTTAATAGTCCTAGTCCGTTTGTATCTCTTCTTCATCTCTAATCTAATCTAATCTAACCGCGAATGCGAATTCACGCATACGCGCCGATAAAGTAACTTGCGCGCACCGTCACGTGTTGACTGCCGAGCGAATCCATCCCACTGATCCCATTACTAATCACGGTGATTAGCGTTAATTACGGCAATTAGAGTTAATCATGCGCTAAAGTAATTCGAGAAGCGCTAATCGTCCACCCCGCCCGATTTTTTTTCTTTCATTTTTTTCGCAATTTTTTTCGCTTTCACTTTTTTCGCAAGTAGATGTCAAGATTTAAAACTTTGAAATCAAGATTTTTTTTGAAATTTCAGCTCAGATTTGAAAACTTTCAAATCGAGATTTAAAAACTTTCAACTCAAATTTGAAAGCTTTCAAGTCGGATTTAAAAACTCTCAATTCATACTTAAAAACTTTCAACTCAGATTTGAAAACTTTTATCTCCGATTTGAAAACTTTCAACTCCGATTTGAAAACTTTCAACTCCGATTTAAAAACTTTCAACTCCGATTTGAAAACTTTCAATTTAGACTTGAAAACTTTCAACTCGGATTCGAAAACTTTCATGAAGATTTAAAACTTTCAACTCAAATTTAAAAAAATTAAGTCAAGATTTAAAAACTTAACTCAGGTTTGAAAACTTTTAACTCAAAAAGGAGCCCCCTAATCTAACTATTTAAAAAGAGAAGTTTCTACCGTATATTAAAAAATAAAAAAATGCACGAGAAAATAAAAACGGTTTAAAAAATGCGTGAGGAAAAAAATATCAGAAAAAAGAGCAAAAGAAAACGCGCTAGAAAAAAAGTTCCGTAGTCCATAAAAAAAACACGCGAGAAAAAAAAATTCCATCATATGACAAAAAAGCAAAAAAAAGCATACAATGAAAAAACTGTTAGAAAAAATAGCTAAATTGATGGACACTTGGTTGGATAGGATCCTTCGATTTGTTTTCCATCTCCTACACGACTTGTGTTTCATCATCTATTCTTCTGTATTGGAGACCCTTCACATCTTTGTAGGCAATTATCTGAAGTGTAGCTATTATTCTTGATAACATATTATATAGAAATAATATTAGAAAATAAATATTTTTTAATTGTTATTTAGAGAAGAGTGCAGAATAACTCTATTTTGTGTAGACTTGACCATACGAGGCAGTGTAGGATTTGATTGGTTGCAAGAATGAGAATTAAAGAATATTTTAGATTATATGCATGTTGTCATATGAATAATCCAATTATTTCAGGTAAAGCAAACATCTTAAGGTTGTCATCATCGAGGTTGGGCCATTACATTTAAGATGTTCCAATTTTCTGATTTTCTGATTGTCATCGACATGGTTATGCATGAAAAACGTATATTATCATTATGTTTTTTCACCCGTTGCAACGCACGGGCATGTTTGCTAGTGTATATAATAAAAACAAAAAAGAAAAAAAAAGAAAAAAATGTATACGCACCATCCGTCCAAAAAAAAAGATAACTTCTAATAATGAATCTGGATAAATACTTGTCTAGATTCATTCTGAAAGTTAGTTTTATGGGACAGAGGGAGTATATATTAAGAAAAAAAAAGAGAAAAACTGGAAAAAAAATGAAAGAAAACCGTAAAAAAAATGCCACGTGTCGCCTCCTCCTGCTGCCCCCCCCCCTCCCCCGGCCCCCCCGGTGCCACGTGGGGGGAGGGCACATGACCATCAGCTTTTTAGCGGTTTCGTTGTGAATTGGGGTCTTGGGGGCACCTACTATGCACCCAGTTCTAGGGGCGGGCCTAGAATTTTTTTTAGGCTGAGCTAACCTAACGATAGAAAACAAATTAACAAGTAAACACAAATACATATAGCATTTTATCATGGATAGAAGTAAATTGGGCTACTTGCTAATGACTAAGTATGATAATTAGTGCTAATCTAATGGTGCGTGTATGCAGCTAGGCTAAAATGGCTAAGTACCATAGTTAGTTCTAATGTATGGATACATGCGGTGGAGCCTGGATGCCTGCCCCCGGATGCCTGCCCGTGCTGGCCGGGCCTTGGCTCCGCCGCTGCAGTTCAATGGGTTTCCTACTATAGACTCTCCGGTATATGCGTATGTATGTATTTATATATTTTGTATACATATACAATGTTTATACGCATGTATATAAAGTATACACATGCGTAGTTTATATATGTATTTATATATAAACTTTGTATATACATCTATACAATCTTTTATATGGCAATGTATCATATGCACACGGATATGTAGCTGCACTCATGCACACGTGCGTCCAAAGCCATTCGATCAATATCCTACGGCTAAGTATCACAGTATGGCATTTTTTCAATTAACCGCCCGCCTCCTCCACTAAGTTTTATAAGAAAATCCTCCACAATTCTCGTCTTCCCTCGAGCTGTCCATGTCGCCCCAAAAAATAAGAAAAGGAAACTCGCCCACGCACCGGCACAGCACTGGTGGAGGCGGCGATTTCGAGCGACAATCTGGTATTCAGAGCCGGCGGAGACGGCGACCTCAATCTATGGCGCACCAGCGGAGATGGCGATCTGGAGCGATGACATGCCCGCGGCGGAAGCGGCGATCTGGAGTGACGGTTTGTCTTCAGAGGTTGCCACTACTCTCGCCGTCACAGCGTTTATGCAGAAGCAGCAGAACTGAAACTGAGCTCAGCTAATGGGATTGGAGTTAGCTGTTGCTTTCTTCTCTCCGTATTAGTGAATCGTGTTTCATGGTCTCCTTTTCTCTGATTGTTTTTGCTAGGGGCTCAGAGCAGATGTATCTTATCGTTTTCTTGTTCGCATGAGATTTAAGAGATCATCAATCATCAGTTCATCACCAGCTAACTATTTCAAATCTTTGTCCAATGTCAAATTAACGTTTTGGAAGAATCATGGGACTACATGGGAGATATTCTGCCATCAGCCCATCAGGTTCATGACAACTCCAGTTTTTTTTCTCAAACATGAACAAAATTGCTGCTACAGCGCAGGCAACGGCAGCCTCTGCATCCGCAGGCTTGTCGCCACCTAGATCGCCATCCCCGCCGGCGCGAAATCGATTGAGGTCACTGTCTCTCTGTTGATTTTTTTGTCGCTGCTGCCTCCAAATACGAACCGTTTCCTCCGCTGATATGCAGCGCTTTCTTGCGCTAGATTCAGATTAGTTGATTTTCTTTTTAGCAATATGGACTGCTTGAGGAAAGAGAGTTGTTAAGGGTTCTTTTACAATACTTAGTGGAGGAGGCGGGCGGTTAAATGAATAAATGCCACATTCTAAAACTTAGCCCTAGGATATTGATCGAATGGCTCGGGACATGCGTGTGCATGAGTGCAGATAAATGGCTGTGTACATATGATACGCTGCCCTTTTATATATTATAAATTTACACGTATAATTTTATATATACATATACGTGTATAAACTTTATATGTATATATGTACGGACATGTATTTTGTTTGGATCATACGTACGGAACAGTGATCACACGGGGAGGGAGAATTGTCAATAATTTTTGAGGGAGCAAGGGTAATATATATTCACAAGTCCAAAGTGAAAAAGATTAGATAAAAGGTTTTCTGAATCAAAATTTGGATAATAAAAAATAGCCATAATATAAACGTACGCAATTCACTCTTAAAAATTCACTGGATTGTTTCTAGCTTTGACTATGTTGGAACTAACCACCACTAAACCGAAACATGTCCAATAATGTTAGTACACTAATCACAACGTGGAACAAGTTTGGATATTAGCTCCTTGATCACACCGGGGCAGCTCCTGGATAAATGCTCAAATCCATCGCTTCCCATGGCGGCGTGAAGGTTGGCCGGCGAGCTGAGGAACACCAAGCACGCCTCCTTGAGGCCTCGGCAATGGTGCTGCTCAACCAACGCGAGCATGGAGGCGGCGGAGGCGGCTTCGATGTGCCTGCGTAGCTTGTCTTCGTAGAGCAGCTTCAGCCTCTTCAGGTCGTACCTGTCCGCCGCGACGAGCAGGTGCTGAGCCATGGCGGCCTCCTCCGAATACGATCCTCCTCCTGCCGCTTGTCCGTCGTCCGCTCCGCCGGGCGCCGGCAACGCGTCGGTGTACACGAAGCGGAGCAGAGCGGAGAACACCGGCGCCTCCATGTCGTCCACGCGGATCGCCTCCGAGTCCGACGACGACGCGGCGGCCGCGGCGGTGGCCTCCCTCATGGCGCCGAACAGCTCCGCCCTGAAGACCGGCGACCGCGCCGCGAGGACGTACCGGTGCGCGCGGAACGCCTCGCCGCCGACCTGGAACGTGACGTCGGCGCCGTGCTTGGAGTCCAGAAGGTCGCCGAGGTGCCGGTGCAGGTCGGACGGCGGCACCACCGCCGCGAAGTCCGACGGCGGCCTGTCCTCCGCGCGGAGCTCCGTGGAGACGCCGACGTCGCACCTGATGGTGAACTTGTCGTCCACGATCGAGCCCTCCATCAACTCCCTCTCGGCATACTTGCTAAAACCATACCCGATCCCCTTCCTGCTGAACACGAATGGCTCTGTGGTATGCACAAACGCCGGCGGCGTGGGCTCGCCGTTGAAGAACAAGCTGAACTTGGCAAAAGCCTTGACGGCGACGATGACGTTCTCGTCGATGGAAGGGTAGACGGCCATGTACGCGGAGGCGTCGGCGACGTCGCCGTTGGGGTAGTATCCGATGCGCCATAGATGGCCTCCCACGGTGAAAGGGCGGGAGTCCATGTAGCAGCCATTGGGGAGGCGGTCCTTGGTGTGGGAGTAGCCGTCGATGTGGAGCAGGTGGTGCCCGGTCACCGTGCTCCCGACGATGGCTGACTCCGTGGGCTTCGTCGTGTCTCCGGCCATCGGCGTGGATTCGGAGGTGGGGCGGCGGCGGTGGCGGCGGCAGACGGCGAGAGAAGAGAGAGGAGACGAGGGGTTTTTGTAGTTTCGCGAGGGTTTCTATGAGCGGATGACAGGTGGGACCGTCTCTGAAGTGGAGACTGGGGGCGAATCCACTGGACGCTCATTAGGCCACCCGCAATAGTTGTCTATAGGTTCTCTACAAGAGATCTATGTCAGCATATTTTCCTACTTGGAAGAGATTAAATAAAGAGAGAGAGTAAATCTATCTACTAATCTGGAGATAGTCTATAGAGAAAAACGAGACAATGGATGAGAGAGCTATAGATATCCATGTAGACATACTATTGAGGTGGTTTACTATTAATCTAGTCTATTGCTTAGATGTACATGTTTTGTAGAGAGCATCTTATTTTACCATTGCGGGTGCTCTTAGACGTTTCGTATGTTTGGAGGTGGGTCTTGGGAATCATCTCCCATGCACATAAAACGGAGCGGTCCATTAGCACGTGATAAATTAAGTATTAGCTATTATTTTAAAAAAATGGATCAATATAATTTTTTTAACAACTTTTATATAGAAATTTTTTAAAAAAAACACATCATTTAGCAGTTTAAAAAACGTGCATGCGGAAAACGAAAGAGGAGTGTTGAAAACTTGCTCTTGCAAACACACCAGTCTACATCCTGTGCGACGTATCGTCTCCGACGAGGTTCCGTACGGACGCCCGGACCATCGCCTCCACCACCGTGACTCTTTCAGTCCCGCTGCCACCATCCGACCTGGGCAGGCCGCAGGCACCTCGCCGACCTCGTCACTAAGAAGGCGCTAACATCATGCCGACGAGGCGTTATGGTGTTAAGGGCAAGTTTTATTAAAGGGTAGTTGTCATATCTAAATTTTATTCATGTAAGATAAGAGGTGATATACTCCCTCCATACTCATAAAGAAAGAAAGTCGTTTAGGACAATATTTAAGTCAAACCTTGGGAATATAAATCATTAATAACTCTTAAGTTGTTGAGTTTGAAAATATAAAAGTTATATGAATAGATTAGTCTTGAAAAATACTTTCATAAAAGTATGCATATATATCACTTTTCAATAAATATTTTTATAGAAAAAAGAAGACAAAGTTGTCTTTTGGAGACCGAGTCGCTGTCCTAAACGACCTCCTTTACGAGTACGGAGGGAGTATACAATACTCCCTCCATCCTATAATATAAGGGATTTTGACTTTTTGCTTGCACTGTTTCACAATTCGTCTTATTAAAAAAAATTAAAATTATTATTTATTTTATTTGTGATTTACTTTATTATCCAAAGTATTTTAAGCACAACTTCTCATTTTTTATATTTGCACAATTTTTTTAATAAGAGTCAAACAGTGCAAACAAAAAGTCAAAATCCCTTATATTATGGGATGGAGGGAGTACACCACATCTACATTAACACTACCTATAGTATACTAACCTAAATAATTTTATTTTATTTATTTGTCCAATCCCCTCTTCCTTTTATCTCCTTTTTCTTAGGTTTGATGCAAAGGTTGCTCCTTGTATGAGGGGTGGTTCACCTTCTCTATCCTAACTTATTTCTTCCACCTCATAATTCAATCATATATAACTTTTTTAGGGGCACCACATCAAGCATCATAGTACTTGCCCTAAGGGCGCATAGGTGCATTGCATTATTGTACGCAGGGTTCAAAATTTCAGAATTTTCGGTTCTATCGGACCTGATATGATATTATTTCAGCCAAAATTTTAGATATTTTAATATTTTTTGTGAATTTGGTAACTTTTAAAAAATTTGACCAAATTTTGTTTTAAAAAAAAGGCAAACAATTCCGGAGTAGAATTTCCAAAATTTCAGAAATGGAGAAAACGAAATATTAAACCCTGATTACGGGATGGTCGTCGGTGTTTAGGGTGAGTTATATATTTGGCCGGATGATGAAAGACAGCGCTGCCATAGCGGTCACCACAGTCGACTGACATTTTGAAAGCCCTTTGGCACGATATTATCTCGCCCAAATTTTTAATTTTTTTCTAATTTTTTGTGAATTTGGTTGGGATGTATTCAAATTCAGTCAAAACTTCGAAAATGCTCAGTACCGGCCGCGCGCGCCATGCGATCGAGCCGCGCGGATCGAACGGCTATCCATCGGGCTATGACGTAGCCGTTGGATATTATTCAACGCAAATTCTCCTTTCTCTTATTTCTTCAAAAGATTTTTTTTCTCATAAACTATTTATTTAATCTATGATCTGATTACACCACTAAATTTATTACAATTAAAACTTTACAACAAGAGTACACATGATTATATTTTGAAAAAAAATATTTTAGCATTTTTATTCAAATTTTTTTAGAATGCTGCATATGGTTCTTTTGATGTTTCAACCAGTAGTTTTACGATGTTTCCTACCTATCTATCGATCTATCTATCTATCTATCCTTGAACTCCTTCCCAAATATTTGTCCCAAGGTACAAGATTGGCAGATTGTCCCAAGGTACAAGGATTTGCACTTGAACTGTTTGCCCCCTCTGCAAGGCAGATTGGCAGGCCTACCTAACTTGTTGCATTTGATCCTTCTATTTTTAATTGTTATATCATGTTTCCTTGTAACCATCTAGTTACGCCTCAGTATTCGTGCACTCTGTGCAAGTATCGACGGTCGCATTCAAACTTAAAATCTGAGAAACATCTTGGGTAAAACTTGATTTACAAATGGTTTGAAAAACTTGACACCTGGGTCGGTGCCTTGTGAAAGAAAATGAGTTTTAAAAACAAAACTCGCGACACAAGGCCATTCCTGGGCGGGATGCTTGTGCGGTCACTTTAAGGACCGATTCCTTTGGAATTACATCCGAACATATAACAAGTGCGACCACATGGGTGGAATGGGACACCCCTAGCTGAGTAACTAGCTAGGTGTTGATGCGAAAAAAACACACTAGCCTGGAAGATCTGCTTAACTCCAGTGCAGGTCCTAAATCTTACTTTCGGGTTCAAAGACGTGCTAGTTGATTTGATCCTGCAATCAACAAGAAGGAAAAAAAAAGATAGCCGATCGGCTAAGGGCCGATGACATATCGTTAATCATTAACCCGATGTTATTGACATTAGATCGGCAATGAAGATTATAGCAACATAAAGTTAAAACGATATATAATCTTTTTCTCGAAATATATTTAAACCATGTGATTGGAATAGATCGAATAGTAAGTCGAGACAGTATAAATCACTTATGTTTAAAAGTACTTTAAGACGAAGATTATATAGACACTCATAGCATAGCCGATCAAATAGATCTAACATGTATCGGCTAATACTCCGATACCACCCTATATCAAGATATTAAAACAAATAAAATATATCAAACAGTAAGCCTAATATACTTTAATGCTATAAGATCTTAATATAAAGGGTAGGTTTAGCATATCAAGTGAACATGTAAAGATTAAAGGTAGCTAAATCAGGTAAGATCGGCTGAAACCCCGATACTATCTCTATTGATGATCATAAGACGAACTAGACATTATGGTTATGAATATTACTTAATAGATCGAACTCAACCGATGTAGTATTAAGCATAAGAATAAACACAAGATCTAAACAAGTTGATGAACACCTCTATGAGATGGTACCGATATCGCAGTCTCGTTGGAAGTGGTTCGCACCGTTTTTTCTACGACACGCTCCTGTAAGATGCCATTGTATAGCGGTGCCGGATTGGGGTGTGACACATATTTTGGAAACCCTGTATTAAGGGAATTCGTTTTATTTTTTGTTCCACAAAAAATGTTTCACCTAATGTACTCACAATGTTTCACTATGTATAGATCTAATGTTGTAGTGAACTGAAACATTCTTTCGCTATTTTACTGAAACATTGTTTTTAATATAAGGTGAAACAACGCCCGATTTAAACGATTGAAACATTTTCGATCTACTTAGCGAAACAATTCCAATATACTTTGTGGAACATCGTGTAACATTTAAAAATAATTCAATAATAAGCTAAAAAAATTTTGTTGGAATATATGCATGTGTGGTCTTGTTTTAAAGATTTAATTGCAACGAATTTAATGGTGCAATCGGATTATGATTTGGATAAATAATTTAAGAGAAAAATTAGTTTAATAAAATTGCTCAGCAGTTAACCCACCGTACAACAAAATCAATCAGTTTCTTTCACGTAAACAAGCTCACAGCCATTGCGTACAAGGATAGAGCAGCATGCACACCGGAGCTCGTCATGGACTCCAACCACCGGCGCCGGAGTTCAGAGCCAGGGCCGGTGCAACCAGCTGGCCTCGCGCGTCCTCCTCGTCCGATCTCACGAGAAGAGACCGCGCGATGAACGAGGCGACCCTGGATTCGGGCTTCGTTATGTAGGGGCTGTGAGACGCAACGCAAGCGAGATCAGTTCGAAATGAGAAAGAGGAGACGAAGAAATCGAGTCGGAGAAGGCGTGGGTCGGGACGGACAGGACAAGACGAGGCGAAGCTGACAAATCAACACGTGAATTCTGATCCGATATGGACACGCAAGGACTAACGAAAATCTACTAGAAAAACATCTTAAATTTTTATAATAGTATATATAGAGAGATAGCCACAAGAAGAGGAAAGGAAGGAGATTAGATTAGATTAGCGACGAATTCGTCAAACCCATCATCTCCTTCGCGCCGTCGTCGACCACCATCACCATGCCGACACCCGAGCCCTCGACCTCCGCCTCCGCCATCGTCTCCGGCACGGTGACAGGGCACCACGTGCTCACCATCGACGGCTACTCCCGCACCAAGGCGAAGCTCCCCACCGGCCGGTTCACCGCGTCTCGCCCTTTCACGGTGGGAGGACACTCCTGGAGCATCCACTACTACCCCAGCGGCGATCGCTCCGACACCGCCGGCTTCATATCCGTCTTCCTCGAGCTCAACCCCGCCGCCGACGCCGCCGCCGCCGCCGGCAGCGGCGGCTCCGAGCCCGTCGACGCGCGTGTCACGTTCAGCTTGCTGGATCAGGCCGGGAGGTCCGTGCCGTCCCACACCATGGCCACGGATCTGCACGACTTCGCCGCCACCGGCTTCGGCTTCGGTCGATTCATCGAGAGGTCGTACCTGGAGCAGTCGGAGCATCTCAAGAACGATCGGTTCGCCATCCGGTGCGACGTCGTCGTCTTCTCCGACGAGCTCCGTGCGGAGGCCCGCACCGCTGACGCCGCAGCTCTTTCCGTCGCGGTGCCGCCGTCGGACCTGAGCCAGCATCTCGGCGGCCTCCTCGCGGCCAAGGAACTAGGCGCCGACGTCACGTTCCTGGTCGCCGGCGAGACGTTCACGGCGCACAGGTGCGTTCTCGCGGCCCGGTCGCCGGTGTTCAGGGCAGAGCTCTTCGGCCCGATGAAAGAGAGCGCCGCCACGGCGGTCATCACCGTCGACGACATCGAGCCAGACGTGTTCAGGAACCTGCTCACCTTCATGTACACCGACACGTTGCCAGAGACAAATCCACAAGAGCTGGAGGAAGAAGAAGAAGACGACGACGACGACTACGAGGACGATCAAGCTCAAGCTGCTGCAATGGTCGAGCATCTGCTCATCGCGGCGGACAGGTACAACCTGGAGAGGCTGAAGCTGATCTGCGAGGATAGGCTGTGCAAGCACATCGACGGCGAGTCCGTGGCGACGATCTTGGCCTTGGCTGAGCAGCACAGCTGCGATGGGTTGAAGGAGGCGTGCTTCCAGTTCCTCAGCTCGCGATCGGCTCTGAATTCTCTGGTGGCCACCGATGGCATTGAGCATCTAGCTAGATGGTGCCCCTCTGTTCTCAACCAGCTCATGTCCAAGGTTGCTGCTCTTGTTCCTGTTGATTTCGTCGTCAGGGAAACAAGATAAGTTAATTAGCATGGGGTATCAGTGGCATTGTAATATGACATGTTGTCATGTTATGGTCTGGAAGAAAATCTGGAGGTTTCTGCAAATACTAGTATAGTCTTACCCTGAAATTAGACTCAATGATCTGTTTTATTTCGATCTTGTCATTGCATTCTTTTGGGATATTACTGTTAACGTCAAGGAAAACTACTACTGTAAGAATTATAAACAATTGCTTGTCGGCGTTACGCACCCGTTTGCCACTTTGTTCTCAACTATTCCGATTCCAGCAAACACTGTTGACTTTTTCTTTATTTTTTTGTGTTTCTTCTTTCTCCATTGTTGTACTGTATCTCTACTGAGCGTACATCTGGTAAACTGTGTTTTGGGGAGAGTGATTTCATCCCTCGAGACGATATCCTCTCGTTTCGTACATGACACCTAAATAGTCAGTAAAAAAATTATTTTTTTTTGCAAACATAGATTAAAATAAAAGGAAAAAAAGTACGAATTACACTCCCGAACTATCGCGGTCGTCTGAATTACCCCCCTTAACCACAAAACCGGATATTTTTCACCCCCAACTATGCAAACCGGACGAATTACCCCCCTCGGCCCAATCCACGGTGGTTTTGGTCTACGTGGCGTACACGTGGCAGTTCAGTCAGCGTTTTTTTAATTAAAAATTGTGGGACCTACATGTCATACACTTCTTACCCTCTCTCTCTACTCTCTCTCTCTCTTCTCTCTCGCGCAGCGCGCACGGCGAGAGCGTGGGGACGGGCGGTCGGCGACAGCGGCTCGTAACGGCGGCGGCGCGGAGATGAGGCGAGCGCGCAGCGGGCGGGCAGGTCGAGGAGTACCACCACGCCGAGCAGGTCGACGAGCCCCACCACGCCGAGCAGGACAACCACCACCGCGCCACGCAGGACGACATGGGCAGCGACGGCGAGGAGCTCCAGGGCGAGCGTGGCGGCGCGCTCTTCCTCCCGCCCTTGGGCCCGGTCGGCATGGGCGGTCCGTGAGGTGAGGCGAGCGCGGCGGTGCGGACGGCGCGGACGTCGGCGCAGAGGCGGAGGCGGCGGAGGAGCGTGGCGGCGGAGGACGGCCGAGTCGCGGGAGCAGAGAGCGGAGAGGTGCGGATGGAGGTTGAGCTCCACGCTCCTCAGCTGCCTCCGCTCCTCCGCCGCCTCCGGCTCCGCGCCGACGTCCGCGCCGGCCGCACCACTGCGCTCGCCTCACCTCGCCAACCGCCCACGCCGACCGGGCCCAAGGGCGGGAGGAAGAGCGCGCCACCGCCGCGCTCGCCCTGGAGCTCCTCGCCATCGCTGCTCATATCGTCCTGCTCAGCGTGGTGGGGCTCGTCAACCTGCTCGGCTGCCACCGGGCTTGCCTCACCTCCGCGCCGCCGCCGCTGCGAGCCGTTGTCGCCGACCGCCCGTCCCCGCGCTCTCGCCGTGCGCGCTGCACGAGAGAGAAGAGAGAGAGTAAGAAGTGTATGACATGCGGGTCCCACAATTTTTTAATTAAAAAAACGCTGAATGGACTGCCACGTGTACGCCACGTAGACCGAAACCACCGTGGATTGGGTCGAGGGGGGTATTTCGTCTGGTTTGCATAGTTGGGGGTGAAGAATATCCGGTTTCCTGGTTCAGGGGGTAATTCGGACGACCGCGATAGTTCGGGGGTGTAATTCGTATTTTTTCCAATATAAAATATATCACTCTACAAATATGCAAGTTTAAATTCAACTTGTACAAGTTATAACGAAATTAACAAATATAGTTGCGAATGTATAATAACTATTTTCAGTTTAATTTGTTCTTTTTATTGCAACTTGTAGAAGTTGAATTTGATCTTGTCAATTTTTTCAAGTTTTTTAATAACTATTTAGATGACATGCAAACAACGAGGGATGTCCCCTCGAGGAATGAAAATCAACATCATGTGTTTGGCTCTTATCTGCAATTGTAATTTTGTACTGTACCTGTACTTATGAATTGTGCACGTGCACTTGTGAATCAATCCAGCAAATTGTGTGCTTGCCTCGTATTGCTATTTGCTGCATCCATTACCTGTCATTGAGATTTAACCGCAAACTCAATGAAACCCTTTGTTGAGTCCGGTGGTGCTCACACCATAAATTACGGTTTCAACAATAAACCTCTGAACTGTACCGTTCATGTTGAGTAAGCCAAAGGGAATTACCGGTTTACAAAGTGGTGTATACTGTGTATAGAGGCAATGGATGTAGTCATTGCGGCAATGATGTAGCTCCTTGTTTATCTGCACCTTATACTGTTGTTTGGTTTAATTTATCAAGAAGTCTTCTTCCATGAGATTTGCTTTGGTCCAACAAAAAGTACCTCGTGGTACCGGTACATCGTGGTACCAAATCGTTTGTGATCGTTGGATTTAGCAAATGCCCATCCTGCCAGCTAGATCCAACGATTGGAAACGATTTGGTACGATTTGTGATCGTTGGATTTAGCAATGTCCATCCTGCCAGCTAGATCCAACGATCGGAAACGATTCAGTACCGTGATGTATTGGTACCTTAAGATATTTTTTGCTGGACCAGAGGTAATCTTCTTCTTCCATAGTTTAGTTAACTCTTTCGAAATGGATAGTTCAGTGCTCTCTGTTACTCTCTTTGGCGACGTACTGAGAATTATTCCCCTAAACTCTGCCTTTCTATAACAAAATGCTTGATTAAAAAATACAAAATAAAATGACTAAGTAGCAATATAAGCTAGTTGCTGAGAGCCCTCTATTTTGCTGGTTTTAAGACCCTGGGATTTAGCAAAGCTGGTATTCTTTTCTCCTAAAGATGAAGATTAAGTTTTTTACGCAAAACGAGATGGTATTAACGTATGATTGATTCAATTTTAATTATTACAAACTTGAAAATTAGATTAATATGATATTTTAGAGCAACTTTCATATAAAAAGTTTTCGCACGAAACACACCGTTTAGTAATTTAAAAAGCGTGTCACAGAAATCTTAACCTTCATCAAACTTTTGTTGGAGAAAAGTAGTGACTTTTATTGATTGTTACTCTCGAAATATATCTTATAGATAAATTAGTTGGCAATAAATTTGAATCAAATTAGCATTCAGGCACCAGGGAAAAAAAAAGAAAGAAGAAACAACAAGTGTTCCAGAGTGTAACAACATTTAGGAGAAGAAGCACATTTGGCTGAAATTGTTTTAAATTAAGCATGAATTTGTCCTCCTGAACAACCTTACATGCTACCGAAACACTTTCAAGCTTTAAGGCGCAAGTTTTCATTTGGCTCCAGATAGAAGTTGAGAGCCCCTGACAATGAGCTCCTTGACAAGAGACGGGCAGCTCTTGATCAGATGCTCGAACCCGTCGCTCGCCATCACCGCGACCATCGTCGCCGTCGAGTCGATGAACCGGAGGCACGCCTCCTTGAGGCCACGGCAATGGTGCTGCTCCGCCAGCGCCATGAGCGTCGCCGCCGAGCCCAGCTCGACGCGCCCGCACAGCTTCTCCTCGCACAGCCGCATCAGCCTCTGCATCCCGTACCTGTCCGCCGCCACGAGCAGATGCTGCGCCATCACCACCTGCTGCTTCGTCTCCGTCTCCGGCAGCTCGTCGGTGTAGACGAAGGCCAGGAGGGCCCTGAACACGTCGGCCTCCATGTCATCCACCTCCACCACGGCGTTGCTGCCGCCGCTCACGCTCTCCTTCATCGCGCCGAAGAGCTCCGCCCTGAACACCGGCGACCGCGCCGCGAGCACGGACCGGTGCGCGGGCACCTCCTCGCCGGCGACGTGGAACGTGACATCGGCGCCTTCCATGGACTCGAGGAGGCCGCCGAGGTGCCGGCGCAGCTCCGGCGGCGGCACCTCCACCGCCACCACCGGCGCTGTCCGGTCCTCGACGCGGAGCGCCCCGACGACGGCGACGTCGCACCGGATCGTGAAGCTGTCGTCCCTGACGTACCCCAGCTTCTCCAGGACCTCCGCGCCGATGAACTCGTGGTAGCCGAATCCGGTCTCGCTGACGGTGAAGCCGTGCATCCCCGCGTCAAGTTTGCAGGACATCATCGGCTTCCCCAACCGGTCGAGCAAGCCGAACGTGGCCCGCGCCCTCACCGGCTGCTTGCCGCCGGCGACGACGAGCTTCAGGTACACCGCGACGAAGCCGGGAGGAGAGGCGCGGCTGCCATTGTGATAGAAGAGAAGGCACCACAGGTGATCGCCGACCTTGAACGTGCGTGACTTGATGAACTTGCCGGCGGGGAGCTTCTCCTTGATGTAGGAGTAGCCCTCGATCTTGAGGATGTGGTGCCCCTTCACCGTCCCGCCGACGATCGCCGACGACGACGAGTAGGGCGGTGGACGGGCGCCGCCGCCGTCGTCTGATCCGCCGGTGGCCATATGGACGACAGAAGCAGTGGCGCAGGGCGACGACGAGATCGGCGACGGCGAGGGAGATCGATCAGCACCGGATTCGGATGCCCGAGAGATTTTGTCGTGATAGGTTCGATTTATAATTAGTTAGTTAATCGTGTCTTTGCGCGTCTTGGATTACTTGTAATCGCACATCTTTTGTATGTCCTGATCCGTGTGACTTCGTGAGGGCGTCGGCCGTGAACTCGACGGTCATTTTTTTTTTGTTCAGACGCCGCCGGCGTCTCTGCTGTGGCGACCGGAGAAATCGGGCAAATCTCCGGCGATCGACGGCCATCATCGCGTGCCGAGCTGGGCTTTTCAGGCAGAGGCGTAGCTGCTTAGAGCAAGTATAATAGTAGGTTATAAGTTGGCTAAATGCTGAGGCGGATGAGAGAAGAGAGGAGAAGCGGGCTGCAAACTTATAGCCGGCTTGGACAAAAGAACCAAGAAACTATGTGAGAGAGATAAGTGGGTCCTATGTTAATTATAAAGAGCTAACTATTATATTGGTAGGCTGAGAGAAGGCTATAAAGACTCTTATAGTCAACAGGTTGGCTGTATGGCTATATTATTAACCTTGCTCTTATCAGCTCCGCCGTGGCGTGACATGATTACAACTCTGAAAAACTAAACGTATCCGCTTATTAGAGCAGGTACAATAGCAGGCTATAAGCCGGCTATAACCATATATCGAAAAGAAAAGAGAAGAGAGAGAAGAAAGCGGGCTACAGATTTGTAGTCGGCTGCAACATGGATTCTAAGATGTTATGTGTGTATGAGAGATGGGACCGGGTATTAATGATGTAATATATTTTTATAGTTAACTATTATATGAACTAGGAAGGAAGCCCGCGCAGTTGCGCGGGCAATTTATTTTTTATTTATTAAAGAACTACTGAAAAAAAGTCATATATCATCATAACTAACCATAGATTACCTCATATCTTTACCGTAAAAGAAGGAAGTATTTGTACCGTGAAATATTCAAAGGTGGGTGTGCACACGTTTATATGCTCGCTTAGGATTGCCTTTTACATTATTAGTTAAAACAATATTTTCAAGAAAATTGGCGAGGGTGTCATGAAGCAGCGCTATGGCAGTGTGGCTTCTTCGTCAACCTCGTAAAGAGTGGTCGCTACATACATGTATAATTTGAGGAACACCTTAGGGCTACGAAGAAAGAAACAGAAAACTACCAGATGGGGTGAACCATATATGCACTCTTCTTTTTTGTTTTTGGCATCTCTTGTGTATGTACGTGCATAGAGAGGGATTAGCTGGTTTTAGGAGCGAGGGCTTACCTGAATAAATCTAATTGAATGGTTGAAAATAATGGATTCACCGGTTTAAGTGCAAATCGATAGCTAGATATTTTGTTTTTTCTTACAATTTTTTTTTACATTTTCTCCAATTTATTAGAGCATCACATGGCATCTTCCAAGTATTAGAGCCTAATTTGAATACAACTCGAAATTGCACATATTTTTACAACTTAAAGCATATTTAATTAATAAAGGGTTTAAATTATTATTTTGGTTTTCCATCTAATCTAAATGAGAAGAAAAAAGAAAAAATAAGGATGTGAGACCCGGTGTGTGTACGTTCATAGTACGATACATAGGTACATATTTTTTCTTAAGGAGGAATACCTGCGTACGTACTGTATGTACGTAGGTACGTACTTTTCTTAAGGAGGAATACCTAGGTAGCTATGTGCATGTATATTGGCTGGTAGTGGCAGTATGACGTGAGCCTTTTTACAAATAAATTTAATTATTAATTTTTAAGATAGATCTAATGGTTGAACATAATGGGTCTACCAGAATAAATGAAAATCGATGGTCGGATGTTTTATTTTTTCTTACAATTTCTATGATTTATTGGAGCGCCACGTGGCGGTCTAGGAACGCTTATAGGGTAATATGTGGTGGATTAGAAGCGTTTGTAGGAAGTTTATCCTCTTGATTACTTTTTCTCTTTATGAAAATATTTGCAACAATAATTTTGGAATAGTTCGTAGGAAGATTATCCTCTTGATTATTTTTCTCTCTTTTCTCTTCATGAAAATATTTGCAATAACAATTTTTGAATAACCACAACCTTCTAAATTAAATATTTGTAACAATATTTTTTAGATCGTCATAACTTTTAACTTTAAATCGCACGTTCACTCTTTATCTATTTGGACCATTGTGTTATTTATGATAAAAATCATAATTAGAATTTATGACATATGTTGTCTACTTCGCTCGTAAAATGTATATTCTTCTAAGTTCTATTCATTCAATCATATATAAAAATATATATATAAAATTGTGACTACATATTATTTTATCCTGTACCACTTCACTTGCATGCATAAATAAAATAGGAAGTGACTATATATATTGTTAGATAGATCTACTTTTTAAAGTCTCACCTTGTAAGAACAATGCCCGCACAGCTGTAAACATATATTTTTAAATTATACTTTTTTATCATATTTGTGGAGTAATAAATTTTGTTTTACTACTATAAAATATACTATTTTATAAACCATCTTTTTTCTAGCGACGTAAATATATTTTTTAGGTCTTATAGCTTTTCTTTTTACTCGTGTACGTACGTATTTTTTTCAACTGAAACAGTACCTTTTTAATAGATTTTATATAGTACGTAAGTACGTTTCTTTAAATGAACAGTACATATAGGTTTTTTTTTTTAAGGTCCGCGTAAGTACGTGAGATTTTTCCTTTTTTCCATTGTGCGTATGAACGTGAGAATTTCCGGTATAAAACGGTTTCACTCGAATTCACACGATATCAATAGAAAGCAAATAGATCTAATCCAATGGTCTAAAATAATGGGTCCACTAATTTAAATGAAAATCGATGGTGAGATTATAAAATGCCACATGGCAACATAAGAGTGTTTGTAGAAACGCCACATGGCGGCTTAGGAGCGTTTGTAGGATAATTAATGGACTTTTAGTATATAATAGAAGATGGGCTATTAGATTGACTATAGATGTTTTGGAGCCAATAGTTGGCTATACTATTTACCTTGCTCTTATTGATTACAACTAATGATTATTAAATTGGATCTCTAGTCCGGCGTTGAATCCGTTGATCTTTCGCTGTTCGACTTCGATCTCTCGTCGCCGCCGTCGCGTACGTACGTGTGCGCGCTAGCCACCACAACGTACGCACCATGCCGTCGTCCGCGGCCACCGGCGGATCAGAATTAGTCTGGCCGCCGCCGCCATACTCGTCCGCGTCGGCGATCGTCGGCGGCACGGTGACGGGGCACCACATCCTCCAGATCGACGGCTACTCCTACACAAAGGAGAAGCTCCCCCACGGCAAGCTCAAGTATTCCCGCATGTTCAATGTCGGCGACCACCAATGGCACCTCAGGTACTACCCCAATGGCCAGGGCTCTGCCAACGCCGATTACATCTCCGTCTACTTGGGCCTCGATGCGGCCGCCGCCGGGCACGCGAAGGAGCAGCCGATGAAGGCGCGAGCCACGTTCAGCTTGCTCGACCGGGCGGGGAAACCGGTTCCGTCCTACACGCTTGACGCGGGGATGCACGACTTCGCCGTGGGTGGATCCGGATTCGGCTACCATCAGTCAGGGCCGGCCCTGGCCCTATGCAGCAGAGGCGACCGCCGGGGACCCATGATGGTGGGGGGCTCATGATAGTGGGGGGCCCAACACCTAATACTAGTAGTCTAGTACCTATCTATTGCCTATCTGGAAGCAGAAACGCCGAAACGAGAGGAGCTGGAGCGTCGTCGCCTCATCGCCCCATCTAAGACACTATTGACTTAATAGTGTTATTGATGATTTTGTATCAAGAAATGTCCGAAGAAGTATCTTTTCATGAGAAGCAATGGATATGATGGGGTTCTTTTCTTCATTAAGGTGATGATTGGTTCCAAGGTATAAATATATTGTTGTTTTGGTTGACTTTATTTCTCGATAATTACCAGACATGTTAAATTTAATATATGGAAGTATTTATTTTTGTTTTGCAAATAAAATTAGCGTGTGTATATATATATATATCATAAAATTTTATATATAGCTTGTAGGGCCTATCACGATGAGTTCATCTAGGGCCCTCAAAATCATAGGACCGGCCCTTGGCATCAGTTCGTCAAGAGGGAGCTCCTCGAGAAGTCCGGGCATGTCAGGGACGACGGCTTCGCGATCCGGTGCGACGTCACCGTCGTCGTGGAGCTCCGCACGGAGGACCGGACGCCGCCGTTGGTCGAGGTGCCGCCGCCCGACCTGCACCGGCACCTCGGCGGCCTCCTCGAGTCCGGGGACGGCGCCGACGTCACGTTCCACGTCGCCGGCGAGGAGGTGCCCGCGCACCGGTATATTCTTGCGGCGCGGTCGCCGGTGTTCAAGGCGGAGCTCTTCGGCCAGATGAAGGAGAGCAGCAGCAGCAACACCATCGTGAAGGTTGACGACATGGAGGCGGAGGTGTTCAGGGCCCTCCTCGCCTTCATCTACACCGACGCGCTGCCGGAGACGAAGACGAAGGCGAATCAAGAGGACGAGCTGGTGATCGCGCAGCACCTGCTCGTCGCGGCGGACAGGTACGGCATGGAGAGGCTCAAGCTGCTCTGCGAGGAGAAGGTGGTCGAGTACATCGACCGGGGCTCGGTGGCGACGCTCATGGCGTTGGCAGAGCAGCACCATTGCCAAGCCCTCAAGGAGGCGTGCTTCCGGTTCCTCGAGTCGAAGGAGACGCTGAACGCGGTGATGGCGACCGACGGCTTCCTGCATCTGATGCAGAGCTGCCCATCTCTTGTCAAGGACCTGGTTTTCAGGGTTGCTGACCGTCATTTTCAGTAGCATGCATGCAGGGTTGGAAATTTCGGACTCCTCCCATTCCCATACGAATGTTATTTCGGCCAAAAATTTTCAGTTCTTTTATTTTTTTCATAAATTTTGGTAATATTTATTCAAATTTAATTAATTTTTTAAAAAAATTAATTTCAATATATCGGTGACCTCCGATCAAATGGGCTAAACCAAAAAAAGTAAACCATACATGCATGTGAGGTCTTTCGGAAGAAAAAAAACAGATAGCTTAGTTAACTTCTTTCTCTTTGCTCAAAGAATTCCGTGAGAAATGCTTATAGGGACAGCTCAGTGAGCTCTGCCTGCTCGACGGCGACAGCAGGGCCCAACGATGAGCTCCGCGAGGGAGGAGGCGAGCTCGTCGAACTTGAGCAGTTGCCGCGCGCGCCCGTGGACAGCCGAAGCAGGGGCCTTCCCCTACCCCTCCTCCTTCTCCTTCCCGTCGACGATGTCGTCGCCGCCGGCAGCCTCCTCACCCTCGCCAGCCTCGCCAGGTGGAACCCGAGCGAGCGGATCCACAGTGCAACGGTGGTGGAGAGGAGCGCAATGCAGTGGCGTGCGGCGGACGGCGGCTGGCGGGAGATGAGCGAGTGCCACGTAGCCTCGCCGCTATCCCATCTCCATCCTCGTCGTCTCCGGGTGGGACAGCGGTGCGGGAGGATAGTAGTTGTCGTCGTCGGGCCTTCGCTTGCCACCGATATGCTCCACCAGCCGTCCAACTGCTCCGCTCCGCTAGCCGGCTGCTTTGCCCCGCTCGTCGGCCGCTCACCGCCCATCCCGCTCTACCGGCCGGAGAGAGAGAATAGAGAGAAGAAAGGAAACAAAGGATGGGAGTAGTGATGATGACATGTGGGGCCACATGGGCCCCACTATTTTTTTTTTGTTATTTTGTGTGTTGCTAACCTATAGGTCCCACGGTTTTTATTATTTTTGGATCGGATAGCTACGTAAGCACTACATCAATACCACGTGAGATGAGTATCTAGTCAAAGAAGCTACATAGACAACACGTCAACGAAAACCGCCTTGGAACTTATGTTGCATCGGTTTTGACAGTTGAGGGACCTGTTGTATCTGTTTTTTCGGGTGAAGGACGAAAATCGGATTCGTTGACAAGTTTAGGGACCTAATATGAACTTATTCCCCATAGGAACGCACATTATCATCCCATATTTGGAAGAAGTACACCAAAGGTCCCTCAACTTGTCATCACGATAAAAAACATCCTCGAACCACAAAACCAAATATGCGAGGTCCCTTAACTATACAAAACCGGTTACTCGATATCCTTCGATGGTTTTGACCCTGGTTTTAGTCTACGTGGCAGCTAAGTCAGCGTGGGACCCACGTGGGCCCCACATGTTAGGTGTCCACGTCATCCTCCTCTTCCTCTTTCCCCTCTTCTCTCCCTTCCTCATCTCTCTCTCTCACTCCTCTGCAACGGCAAGCTGCCCGGGGCGAGGTGAGAGGGCGGCGCCGCGACGGCTGCCGGCGGAGGCGGCGCGCGAGCGCGGCGGCTTCTCCACTTTCTCCGCCTCCTCGTCCCACTCGGCCGACGTCGCGCTCGTGTCGTCGCGCGCGCCGGCGAACGCGTCGGCCTTTTCAGCGGAGCCGGCGACGCGTACGCGCGGTGGGACGCGGCGGTGGGGTGCCGGGCGTTCGCGGAGAAGCCGCCGCGCTCCGCACATGGTTCAGTCTACCTAAGTTCTTGAAGGTTCTTTCTGCTTCAGACCATGTGCAATCTTGAAGAAACGATGGTTATGCTTATCCAGTTGAAAAATCAACATAGCAACCAAAACTGTCATCTGGTTCCTAGAATTTTTCTTGTAAGAACTCACCAGATGCAGGTCCCTCAGGCACCATATAACTGTAACATCAGCTAAAAGAAGAGTGAAACTGTCACTGTTATGTTCTTGTGCAGCTGCTGCTATGCCGGCTCAAGCTGAATCCACGCAGCCACTATATTCTTCATATATTGGCAATATTGCCGGTGCATGTCATTTCCATACATGTAGCATCATATGAAGCATCTTCATGTTGTCTTGATTATCTATGCAAAGGGATCCTCCAGTTCATCTCCCATAGACAAAAACCCTTCCAGAAACAGAATAACAAAATTTCCCACAATTTTTCGCAAAAATTATTTTACCTTGATCCGATCCCTTCTTTTCTGCAGCAAGAACAGAAAAAATCAAGGAACATTCACCTTGTTGCAAATGAGGCAACACCATCTATCCATCAATGGTTGGTTGGTGTTCTTGAGGTTTTACCCGCTCCGACAGGTTATGGACCTCGGCGGCGCGAGTCCGTCGCTTCGCCGCCGGCCGCTTCGACGGCCGGGTTTCGTCGGCGAACTTGCTAAGGCTGTCAACAAGCTCGTCCCTCCCCCGCTTGAACAGCGGGTAGCTCCCGCTCCCGCTCCCCGACCCGCCCGACGACGACGCGCCGGCGGCGTGCGCGGCGCCCGTCCCCTCCTCCTCCTCCTCGCGCGGGGCGGCGGCGTCGATGTCGTCGTCGTCGTCCGCGGGAAGCGCCGGCGCCGCGACCGCATTGCTGCCGCAGATTCTCCGCCCACGTCGCCCGAGAAAGCGGAGAAGCCGCCGCGCTCACACGCTGCCTCCGCCGGCGGCCGTTGCGGCGCCGCCCTCCCGCCTTGCCCCCGCGAGCTTGCAGAGAAATGAGAGAGAGAGATGAGGAAGGGAGGGAAGAGAGGAAGAGAGAGGGTGACGTGGACACCTGACATCATCATGTGGGGCCTACGTGGGTACCATGCTGACTGAGCCGTCACATAGACCAAAACCGGGTTCAAAACCACCGAAGGATCTCAGGTGACCGGTTTTATATAATTAAGGGACTATACATATCTGGTTTTGTGGTTCGAGGACGTTTTTTATATGGACGACAACTTGAGGGACCTTCGGTGTACTTTTCCCCCCATATTTTGCACAAATTTGGCCCAGCCCATGGTCAATCACAATTCCGGCCCATAGAACACGGCGGCCATCCTGTCGGCCTTTGGAGTTGCGCCAAGACGCCGGACACCCGCGTATCGACGGCGGCTGCGGCTCCACATGGCCCCATCGCGGCGGCTGTTGCCTTCCAATCCAATTCCTCTCTAGCCGAACGACGCAGTGGCACTGCAGTGCAGCATCATATCGGTGATCAGGTTCAACGGCAGCGGCTTAATTAATTATGAGCTCGATTACAACTCCAAAAAAAAATTAGATGTATCCGATTATTATTGGTTGTTATTACAACTAATGATTATTAAATTGGTTCTCTAGTCCGGCGTTGATCTTTCCCTGTTCGACTTCGATCTCTCGTCACCACCGTCGCGTACGTATGTGTGCGCGCTAGCCACCACAACGTAGGTACCATGCCGTCGTCCGCGGCCACCGGTGGATCAGAATTACTCCGGCCGCCGCCGCCGTACTCGTCCGCGTCGGCGATCGTCGGCGGCACGGTGACGGGGCACCATATCCTCCAGATCGACGGCTACTCCTACACAAAGGAGAAGCTCCCCAACGGCAAGTACATCCTGTCCAGCTCGTTCAAGGTCGGTGATCACCAATGGCAGCTCAGCTACTTCCCCAATGGCGTCAACCGCTACGGCGACGCTGACTTCGTATCCGTCTTCTTGTATCTCGTCGAGGGCCAGCCGGTGAAGGCGCGAGCCACGTTCAGCTTGCTCGACCGGGCGGGGAAGCCGGTGCCGTCCTACACGCGTGACACGGGGATGCGCGACTTCGCCGTGGGTGGATCCGGATTCGGCCCCGGTGATTTCATCAAGAGGAAGCTCCTCGAGAAGTCCGGGCATGTCAGGGACGACGGCTTCGCGATCCGGTGCGACGTCACCGTCGTCATGGAGCTCCGCACGGAGGACCGGACGCCGCCGTTGGTCGAGGTGACGCCGCCCGACCTGCACCGGCACCTCGGCGGCCTCCTCGAGTCCGGGGACGGCGCCGACGTCACGTTCCGCGTCGCCGGCGAGGACGTGCGCGCGCACCGGTACATTCTCGCGGCGCGGTCGCCGGTGTTCAAGGCGGAGCTCTTCGGCCAGATGAAGGAGAGCAGCAGCAGCAGCAACACCGTGATGAACGTGGACGACATGGAGGCGGAGGTGTTCAGGGCCCTCCTCGCCTTCATCTACACCGACGCGCTGCCGGAGACGAAGACGAAGGCGAAGCAGGAGGACGAGCTGGTGATCGCGCAGCACCTGCTCGTCGTGGCGGACAGGTACGGCATGGAGAGGCTCAAGCTGCTCTGCGAGGAGAAGGTGGTCGAGTTCATCGACCGGGGCTCGGTGGCGACGCTCATGGCGTTGGCAGAGCAGCACCATTGCCATGGGCTCAAGGGGGCGTGCTTCCGGTTCCTCGAGTCGAAGGAGACGCTGAACGCGGTGATGGCGACCGACGGCTTCCTGCATCTGATGCGGAGCTGCCCTTCTCTTGTCAAGGACCTCGTTTTCAGGGTTGCTGACAGTCATTTTCAGTAGCATATGCATGTGAGGTTCTTCAGAAAGACAAAAATCATACATAAAACAGCTAGCTGCCAAATGTGTGTTATGCATTACGTACCTTGTGTAATCTCCCTGGTCTAAATTCTGGAACATATATACAGTATAGCTTAATTAACTCCTCTCTCTTTGGTGAAAGAATTCCAAATGACAAATGCTTATAGGGACGGGATCATGTCCCGCTGTTTCGGAAGGTATCTGTCTCCTCGTTTCTCTCAATCTCGCAACCAAACCATATCGTCGGCATGCCTGTGTTCCAATCAGATCGTGGGTGCCAGCAATGAAGAACTCAGAATAAAAATTACCGGGTCTAATATATATTAATCATTTAATTATTCATAAATATATTAATCAACATAATATAAATTAGCTAGAATTTTATAATTTACATAGGTCTTGTGACCACTGGTAAAAGTTCTCAAAAGTTTATGGGTACGTCCCTAGGTGCCACCACGTCCTCTCATCGGATGCATGGTCTGTCTCTGGTGACCATTACCGTCGTTGTTGGCTCAAGCCAATCTAAGAGCAACTATAATAGTAGACTATAAGCCGACGATATGGTTTGGTTGCGAGATTGATAGAAACGAGGAGACAGATACCTTCCGAAACAGCGGGAGCGGTCACAACTCACAACAGTGACCGCCACTGCCCGTGGAAGGCTAGCTGCCCCCTTCTTCCTCCTCCTACTTCGACCAGAGCTCAGCCCCCTCTTCTAGAACCCACCCGCACTCACATGCCTCCGCTCTTTTTTTACATGCCATCGCTATCACTGTCCAATTCCGCCCGTTGATCCCATCATCCATCACCGTGGTAGACCATCCCCTCCTCCAGCTGCAATGATGCCAGGGCGAGGCCATCGGGGCTAGAGACCCGAGCTCAGGAAAATATAGAGAGGGAAGAAGGGAGTTGAAACATGGCCCCATATTTTTTAAATTTTCCCTAGCCACTTTCACACAGACCTGCTTCTAATTTTTTACTAGGTTGTCACGTCAGCATAGGTGGATCAAGTCAGCATGCCGCGTTTGTAAAAACCACCCTAAAAACCGCTATAGGAGTCAAATTGCACAGGTTTTGAATGTTAGGAGGGATCAGAATATCCGATATTGTAGTTGAGGTGAATTGAACCTATATTTAACGGAGTCAAAGTAGACTTTTTTGCTAAATATGGGATGAAAATGTGTGTTCCTATTGGCGGAAATTGTGCGCATGACTAGTCTAAAATAACATGTAGATCTAGGCCGAAACATAGTGCATCAGTATTTTTTTTTGTCTTCTCGAAGAACCTCAGAGCAAGTTTAATAGTATAGCCAACTATTGGCTCCAAATCAACTATAGTTAATTTAATAGCTAATTCATACAATAGTGTTACCTATAAACATATACTATATAATTAATATCTGGTCCCACCTATCATACACACATGCATATTGAAGTCTTTGCTACAGCTGGCTATAAATGTATAGCCCGCTACTCTTATCTCTTATCTTTTATCTACTTAAAATATGCTCTTATCTGCTCTTATCTCTCATCTTTTATTTTTATCTAGTCTGCTACTGTATTTGCTCTCACAAGCGTACAACATGTGTTATCTCCAGAGAGTGGTCAACAACCCTGAAAAGCAGCTCCTTGACAAGAGACGGGCAGCTCTGCATCAGATGCAGGAAGCCGTCAGTCGCCATCACCGCGCTCAGCGTCTCCTTCGACTCGAGGAACCGGAAGCACACCTCCTTGAGCCCATGGCAATGGTGCTGCTCCGCCAACGCCATCAGCATCACCGCCGAGCCCCGGTCGATGTACTCGACCAGCTTCTCCTCGCAGAGCAGCTTGAGCCTCTCCATGCCGTACCTGTCCGCCGCGACGAGCAGGTGCTGCGCGATCACCAGCTCGTCCTCTTGATTCGCCTTCGTCTTCGTCTCCGGCAGCGCGTTGGTGTAGATGAAGACGAGGAGGGCCCTGAACACCTCCGCCTCCATGTCGTCCACGTTCACCACTGTGTTGCTGCTGCTGCTCTCCTTCATCTGGCCGAAGAGCTCCGCCTTGAACACCGGCGACCGCGCCGCGAGAATGTACCTGTGCGCGCGCACCTCCTCGCCGGCGACGTGGAACGTGACGTCGGCGCCGTCCCCGGACTCGAGGAGGCCGCCGAGGTGCCGGCGCAGGTCGGGCGGCGGCACCTCGACCAACGGCGGCGTCCGGTCCTCCGTGCGGAGCTCCGTGACGACGGTGACGTCGCACCGGATCGCGAAGCCGTCGTCCCTGACATGCCCGGACTTCTCGAGGAGCTCCCTCTTGATGAATTGATGGTAGCCGAAGCCGATGTCGCTGACGGCGAAGCGGCCCATTGGCATGTCACGCGTGTAGTACGACGCCGACGCCGGCGCCGGCTGCCCCGCCCGGTCGAGCAAGCTGAACGTGGCTCGCGCCTTCACCGGCTGGCCCTCGACGAGACACAAGTAGACGGAGATGTAGTCGGCGTAGTCAGAGCCCTTGACATTGGGGAAGTAGCTGAGCCGCCATTGGTGATCGCCGACCTTGAACGAGCGGGACTGGATGAACTTGCCGCTGGGGAGCTTCTCCTTGGTGTAGGAGTAGCCGTCGATCTGGAGGATGTGGTGCCCCGTCACCGTCCCGCCGACGATCGCCGACGCCGACGAATAGTGGGGCGGCCGGCCGCCGTCTGACGACCCCGTGGTGGCTGCGGCGGACGCCGGCATGATTCGTTACGAGTGGCCGGCCGGCGAACGTACGTAACCTACTCGCGGAGGCGATCGGAGAAGCAAAGAACACGAGCGGGTTAGTATTAGGTTTGTCACGCCGAGATTTTGTCGTGGAATCGTGGTTAGTTCGATTCAATCATGTGTTTTGTGAAACCTTTATTAAGCAGATTGGATTATATAGTTGTAATCAGATGCGTTTATTTAGTTTTATTACGAGTCGAAGAGAATGTCATGTCGGCCATCACTGTTGGGTCAACGAAGTCAACTCATCAAAAGCAATTAAGAATAAGTTACTTATTGTTGATAACCTTATTAGCCTAGCTTGAAAGACAACATAAAAAAGGCCAAATTTATTTTGAAACAGGTCGTATAAATTTTGAAGTAAGTTTACAAAATAAAAAATCCACTTTCAAATAATGAATGAAAGACAGGAAGTGGATTTTTGTTCCTCGATGGGACATCCCTTCGTTTTGTATATGGTGTTTACAAAGTTATCAAAAAATTTGAAAAAGTGTAGCGCCCGTTCCGTCGTGGCGCCTAGCGGGAAAATTATCTCTTAAAAACCCTAATTGCGAAATTTGTTTCTTCGCTTGTTGTCTAGTGTCCGTGCCATCTCAAGATCTCAAATCCCCGATCTATCGTCGAGTTAAATTCCGAATCCAAATCCTTCCAAATCAAATCCCTCCGCAAAAGTCTATTTTGCCTCCCCAGGGTCGATGGGCCGAATCCCTCTCGGCCCATCTCCCCCTCCCTTCCCCGGCGCTCTCTCTCTCTCTCTCTCCCTTCCCCCGCTCCGCCCGCGCGCCGCGCACGCGTGCGCGAGGGCCGCGCTGAGCGCCCCTCCCTCTCCGCTCCCTCGCTGCCGCTCCCCGCGCGTGGTTCGCGCGCGCGCCCGCGTGGTCGTCGCCCGCGTCGCGTCTGCACCGTCCGCGTCGCCTGGCCCCGCTGCCCTGCCGCGCCTGCAGCCGCTCAGCCCCGCAGCCAGCGCGCGTGCCCGAGCCGCCTGCTCAAACCGCCGCGCCGCCCGTTGCTTCCCGCGCGCGCGTGCCGTGGTGGCCGACCGCCTGGTCGCCGCCGTCGTCACGGCCTGCTGCGCCTGTCGCTCGTGTCGCCGCTCGCGCTCCACACCGCCCCGCCGTCATCGCCGTCGTCATCGCCTCGGCCCCGCCTCTCCGCGCGCAAGCCGCCAAGGGACGGAGGCAGAGCCCTCCTCCCTCTGCCGCGACGCCCCCGCTCCCCTCCTCCTTATCCCCAAAGAGGCAAGGGGCGAGCTCCACTTTTCTCTCCCTCTTTTCCCCTTTTTCCCTCTCGCCGGCGTCACCTCCTGTCGCCGTTTTGGCCGCTAGCCGGAGCGCCAGCCCGTGCCTTGACCGCCCTAAGTCGGTTTCCAAACCGACATTGCCGCCCTTAAAACCCAAGCTCCCCCCTTTCCCTTCCTCTCCCATTGGCCTCCGTGCCATTGCCGCCGCCCCCGTGCTCTGTTCGCCGTCGCCGTTCGTCGTTGCGCGTGTCGGAGGAGCCGGCACGAGCAAGGACGCGGAAGAGGACTCCGGGCGCGCCCTCTTCTTCCTCTTCTTCGGCCCGAGGCCGGAGAGATTACTCCCGCGCCGTCGGCCTCTCGTCACTGCGCCCCGCCCGCACAGTAGTGCCTCCCTCCGTTCTTCCTCCTCGCTCCATCTCCCCCCCTTAGTTTTCGGTGGTAGCACGAGTAGCCTCCCCGTAGCTAGCCGGCGCCGCCCCGACCGTTGCCGTCGCTCGCCGTGTGCTCGCCGCCGTCGCCGCCCGAGCTCCGTAGCACCCGCTCGTCGCCGGCCTCGCTCGGCGTAGTTCCGCCCAATCCGACGCTAGCATCGGATTCCCGTAGCCGCGTAGATGCTCTCGCCGCCGGGAATTGGCCCCTCGTGACCTCGTCGTCGTTTCCCCCTTCTCCCGCCGCCGGTTGCCGCCGCCGCGATTCGCCGCCGTCAAGCTACCTCCGGCGAATCCAAGCCGTTGGCTCGTCTCCCCTCGTCTCGTGCAACCACCCGGTGTGCTCGCTTTTGCCTGTATCGCCGTGGTTCGCTCCGCCGCTCGCCGCTGTTGTCGGCCGTCCGTTCCGGCCGGCGTCGTCGTCTACCTCCCGCCGGCCCGCGTGGTAGCCACGTAGGCGCCACGTCGGCGCCAGCTCAGCCAAGACCGGGTCGAGCCGACCCCGGTCAGCCCCTCCCCGTGCGCGCGTTCCACCGTGAGCCGTGAGGCTGCGCGTGGGCCCGCCGCATCCGCATCCACCGCGAACCGCGCGCGTGCACCGCGTCCCTCCCCCACCCTAGCACCGCGCCGCGTGCTCCCTCCGCACGGTGAGCCGAGCCGCTGACAAGCGGGTCCCACCCGGGACCGCGCGTGGTGAGCCCGGTCCACCGGCTCTCTCTCTCCTCCCTCCCGCGCGCGCGCGTCTTGGGCCGCTCTGGGCCGCCTTCTTGGGCCGGCCGGCCCGTTAAGCTCGGCCGAGCCGCCCTTTCTCTCGGGCCGTGCCCTAGCCGCCCGAGGGAAGTCTATTTTCCCTCCCTCTTTTTTTTTTCTTTTCTTTTCTTTTCCAAAAAGGATTTAATTAAATCCTTTTCCTTTAGACAAAAATTCAATAATCTTAGAAATTCTATATCTTCCCAACCGTAAGTCCGTTTGACTCCGTTCAACTTCCAAAATTCCTCAAATCTCGAGATCTATCTAATGGCACGCTTAGAGGTCATTAATAGGGCTTTATTTTCGCCGTTTGTTGAGTTGTCCCGTTTCGCGTGTAGTTTCGGAGCCCGAAGACCCGCAGTGCGAGGATTTCGAGGATCAAGCTCCAGATCTCGAGCAAGGCAAGCCACCTTTGAACATCTTGAGCCTATATTTGAAATTTAATTATGTTGCTTGAAAAATATTATGCATTGATAGGATCGCACTTAATCTGTTGTCCCGTCTGCAAGGCAGATTGGCAGACCTACCTAATTTGTTGCATTTGATCCTTCCTTTGTTAATTGTGATACCATGTCCCCTTGCAACCATCTAGTTGCGTCTCGATATTCGTGCACCCAGTGCGAGTATCGACGGACGCCTTCAAACTTAAAATCTGAAAAACAACTTGGGTAAAACTTGGGTTTTACAAAAGACTTGGAAAACCCGACACCTGGGTCGGTGCTTGCGAACTAAATGAATTTCCAAAACCGTGGACCGGGGAACGTACCGGGTGTACGGTTTCCCGCTCTTGCACTTAAGGACCGTTTCCTTGGAATTTCATCCAAACATAAGACAAGTACGACCACATGGGTGGAATGGGACACCCCTGGCTGAGTAACTAGCTTATCAGGGGAGCCTTGATGCCGAGAGATATGTGGATTCGCCGAGGTGGTGTCGGGGAGGACCCCTGGGCTTCCTGGCACAGTATGGTCTGGGACCTAACCTGTTGTTGGTCTGGGACCCCTCTCGGCGGCATATGGTAAACCTGTGTCGGCTTTGGAAATGCCTTGTCATGAAAGCTTGGAGGTCTCCCGACGTGGCTGATCCCCACGGGCTGGGTGATCCGGGTTAGTAATGTCGTGTGGGTAAAGTGTACCCCCTCTGCAGAGGTTAACAAACTGTTCGAACAGCCGTGCCCACGGTCATGGGCGGATGTGAGGTGATTCCTAGCGTAGTTTTGTTTAACTTCTGCTTGTGAAATTGCTGTTGTGTAAAGGGGTTCGATGTTTGAAAAATCTGTAGCTGATGGAATCAGCTAGGCCCGGGTGGCCGTTTGAAAGTTGTTGGCCCGGGTGGCCGTTTGAAAAGCTGTTGGCCGGGTGCCAACCTCGTTTCAAAATCTAAAGACTGATACATTGCACATACTCCGACCGGACGAGACGCACTGTCTCATCCGTGTCGTTTGAGAAGCACTCATTTAGTTGTTTCAGAAAAGAGTTCAAATAAAATCAATTGCAAAAACACCAGCCTCTCCTTGAAGCCTGCATTAAACACTTATTTCCCCTGGCTTGCTGAGTACTCCCGTACTCACCCTTGCTCTATATAAATAATCCCTCCCCCAGTTGCTGAAGAAGATGAAGCGGATCCTGCTGATGAGGAGTTCTTCTAGGAGCAAGCCGGCTACGATGAGTTTTAGGGTTTCGGCCTAGTTCCCAAGTCGCGCCTGTGTTGTTTGGTCCAAGTCCTGGCTTCCGTTTCCCTTTTGTACCTCTACTCTATATTAAAGAGACCTCTGTTGCTGTGATAATCTGTCTTCCTGTGATACCAGCACTGTTTCCTGGGACTGGTATCGAATTACAGGTTAATTTGGAGCGTCACGAGCTAGTTCCGGTCGGTACTAGTTCGGGGCGTGACAAGAGATGGTATCAGAGCACAGGCTTGGCCCTAGGGCGAAACCCGACGTTTAGGACGATCCTAAGGATACTAAGTTCAAAACTACTTGCAAAAAGCTAAGGCTTCTTTTGGTTTCCTTATTTTCAATAGTTTGTTTCTAAAATGGTTACTGATCTTTTCTCCCTCTTTCAAAATTGTAGATGGCAGTGAACGCCAGCTTCAGCTCCCACGGTTTTGGTGAGGGTCACCACGTCGCTCAGCTTCGTGACCTCGCCCGTTTCCTTAGCTTCTCGTGTCCCGAGTACACGGGGTACTCCGTGGACCGTGTTCCCCCTCACTGTGAGCTCTCTGTGTACCTTTACCCTCGTGGAGGTATACACGGAACTGGCCTTCGCCCACACCACTTCACCGTGGCCAGGCCCACTCTCCAGATCGCGTACCAGGACCTCTCCTGGACTGCGCTTCGTCGCCTGGCCCACGACTACAGCCACCGTCTCGGGGGCTCCGCCTTCCGGCAGCTTCCACGCCTTCCTTCTGGCCACTCAGATGCCAGGTACCCTTGTCCGTACAGCGAGTCTCAGCCAGTGCTGACTCGCATGGTTGAGCTTTCGGAGGCTCAGGCCACTCAGCACAACCTACTCCTTGAGGCTTACCGCTCCCTTGCCCGCCGCTACGCCGCTCTGGAG